ACAATATAATAATTTGTCAAATAAGCATCAAATACAAAAAAATATATTTTTCCTTTTTTCAATATACAGTCCATTCAAAACTACAATTTAGGTTGAAACACATTCTTCCAAGATAAAAGTGAAGAAAACTAGAACTAAAAATGGAGGGCACCTTTAAATCACCCAAAAATTTAATATTCGATCAAGATAAAAATTAAAGGATGGAATTTTTTTAGTAGTCTTAACATATACTTAAAGGCCACGGGCTTAAACAAGAAAGATGAAGAAACAAAAGTCGCAATTTTGTTAAAGCACGCCGGTGAAGAGGCAGAGAAGAAATTTAGAACTTTTGATATAGACGAAGCCCAGAAAAAGATTATATTAAAGTGATAAAAAGCATTTAAAGATCATTGTAAACCAATGAGAAATGAAATATACGATAGATATCAATTCTTCACTCGTACTCAACAAAAAGGTGAGACAGCGGATCACTTTATAACTGAGATAAAAGTATTGGCCTCAATGTGTAATTTGGGGACCGTAGGGGATTCATTGGTACGAGATAGGATTGTCAGTGAAATATTAGATCTAGAACTTCAACAGCGAATTCTTCAAAGAACAGGATTAACAAAAAACTAGCGGAAGAAGCATGTGTCTCTGCAGAGGCAAGTCAACTACAGACAAAACAATCGAAGTGAGAAAAGTAGATTTTTTATAGACAGATCTATAGGTGCAAGTAAAAAAAGTGAAAATAATGGTAATCAACACTGTTTTCGCAAGGTTAGTAGTGACTTTTATAATTGTTTAAAGTGCGGTCGATCAAATATTATGGAAAAACTTGTTCAGTTGTTCAGTAGGATGCAGGTTCAGAAGTTCAAATTTTAAAACGGGTAATTTTTCACAAAATTTTAATAACAAAAATAATTATGGTAATGTTAACAGAAATGTAAATGAGATTGTAGATACTAGTAATGATGATGAAGCCATTGATATGCCATTCATCGAAGATATAGTATTGTATAATGTTGATGGTAACAGTTCTAATAGTAAATCGTGGACGGTAAATTCTATAACTAATAATAAGAATGTAACATTTAAACTGGACACAGGGACTAGTTGTAACTGCATGCCTTTAAATACTTTTCATTATTTAGGATTAAATCAAAATAGTCTCAATAGTAGTGCTGCAACCTTAGCAACGAATGGTAATAATAAAATACAAACTAAGGGGTCCGGTATTATAAACTGTACAATAAGAGGGGTTCAGTACAACATCAAATTCTTACAAGTAGAAGGAGCCAATGTTCCCATTCTGCCATATATTTATTTCAGTTTGACCAAATAATGATAAATCCAATATTTGTAGATAAAATAAATTCATAAATTAAGCAAATATCAATAAATCCTTAGTTCATTTAAACAAAAGGAAATAAATCCACATCAGTCCAAGCAAACGTCTTGGATTCGAGTGGCTGCTGTATCATGTCAAAAATTTGCAAACCATCTTAGAAAGGCAGACGGAATATTTAATACGAAAAGAATAATACTACAAAAAATTACTCTATTACTGTAACCTTAATTTTAAATTCAAAAGTGCTGAAGTACCTAAGTATATTCTCAAAAAAAAAAAAAAAAAATGGTCAAAAGAAACGCAGTTAACTATGGAAACCCTCGACCTAAGAAGACCTTCTATAGAAAAAAAGACAAAATTCCTACGAAGTTTGCTCTTGCATAATTTGGTAAAGGATGGAAAACAATCAGGATCTGGTATTCTATAAAAATATATTGGACAACAGTGAAAACGATGACATACAATGAAACTGAGGGGGCTGAAAACCTTTGCGATTGTTTAGAAAAAGAAGTTGGGAATCAAATTTGATTTTTTCAGCGAGTATTTTTTTACATTTTATGAACTTATACCTTCTGTACTTATTATTTTTCAAAATAAATAAACATTCGTTTTTATCTCTAGTGACTTATTTCATATTATAAAAATAATATTTAATAAAAAAATATAAATAAATTTACAAAAAAATGCTTACACATCTATGGAAAAAAAGCAAAACTAAATAAATCCTCACAAAAACTTACATTTTTATCGCATAGTTCAGGTAAAATCTATTTTTTACCAATTCTTTTAAAAAAGTAATAATGCAATCATCCTTTTAATTAAAGAATTTAATTTATGCAAATATCTTACACCTGTTGATTTTTTTTTCATTTTTCTCAAAATGACATTACGGATTTAACCACATTTAACCACTAATAGAAATAAGTCTACTGTTATTGTCATTTGTCAATGGAACAGAAATTACGTCATCACTAATATAGCGTATTGCCCACCGCACTTCATGGATGCTGATTTGTAAATATACTCGAGATTTTAAAATAAAACAAACTTATTTTCATTACACCCTGTATATAGTTTATTTATTTTATTCTAATGTAACAATAAATATCGTTTCTAACATATTATTATTCTTCTAAACATGATTTAACATATTATTTTCATATAATTTTCTCAAAAAATTGACACAACAAAATATTGTTTATGGAGCAAGGAATGGTACTTATTTCTTGCCAGTTACTCAATTGCAAAATTAAACAAATACCAGGTTTTTTAGAAAAATATCGAAACAAATTTAAATCAATAATTTTTAATTATAAACATTTTTTACAAAATAATGTAAATTTTGATTTTACATTATCAAAAATCAGTAAAAAAAAAACAAGGGGAAAAATATTTGCGGACGAAAATCAAGTGTCCAGTTAATTTTGGAATTGAGTATACGACTTGGTATACCAGTATTTACAGCATGCCCCTGATCAGGCACGGACCTGGGAAAATTTTTCGAAGACTTTAAAGTAGTCCAGGAGGCAGTGAAGTTTTTTGGTGCTTATTTTTCCAGTCAGAAAACACCGATAGAATTAGTCTGTTATTCTAAACAAAATTCATATACATATATGTAGGGAGAATTTTCCGATGAGTTGAGGCGGAAAGTACAAATATACCGCACTTTTTTTCTAGTAATAAAAATTATTCTATTAGTGAGAGATATAGTGAAGTTAAGAAAAAAAAAATAGTCTGGCTAATCTGTAAGTATGGGTATTATGTCTGGCAAGTGAAAAATTGGAAAACAATTATCAAAGCCATTGACCTTATTTTCGCAATCCTAAAAATTTGTCAGATGATAGTTTTATATTATAATTACAGCTTCAAAATTAAATATGGCCTGGCTAATGTGGAGCATCCCCAAAACCTTTCCAGACTCGTCCAGCGCTCGTCAGGCGCGCTAAATTTGGCATGTTCAATTCTACAGGTGATTTTTTTCATCTCTACATGTTTTTACTCTTCATAATTTATAAGAAAAGTATTGGTTTAGGGCGCAAATTCACTATAGCTGAAAAACACTTTTCTTAACGTTTTGAGATCCCAGGAATCCAAAAAACATGGTTTTAGTAAAATCTCTGTCCGTCAGTCCGTCCGTCCATCCGTCAGTTATCAATAAACATTATTCGTGAATAACTTTTTAACTATCAGATACGAGTTTTATAGTTGTTTTTTGTAGAAAATTTATTTCATTACAAAATCGATCTCTTGACATTCTTTTATATCTCCCTTAGTTTTTGAGTAATAGCAATAAAAAAAGGAATACTGTCAAGGCTATTTTTTACTTTCTTTTCTGTATACAAATAAGGAAAGTATACAAATCATCATACAAGTTGTGTGTGATGTCATTCTCTATAATTTTTGTCCTATACATGATTTCCCTAAAATAAACCGTATTCGAGATATTTGAGGGAAAGTGTAAATTTTGAATTTTGAAGATAACAAACGGATAGAGAGAAAATACCTTATTAAATTTTGGGCATAGTCAAAGCATCTGGGGGATACATTATAGAGTGTCGGTTTTTTACTTTAAGAAAATAAATAGTCTTTATGTTTTGAATTAATTTAGTTGTTGCAGATATTTAGATAAAACTACCAAAAAAGCTAAGATCGTATTTTTACGTACAATCTCACTGATGCGATCGTACATCGTACAGAGAGTTAAAAAATCGTATAAATACGATTTAAATCGTACGGTTGGCAACACTGGTTGGGGCAGTTGTCCTTCGACAATGACGCATAGAAAAGTGTTTATACTGTATAGTCAAGTGGTAATTGAGAGAGATAGGAATATAAGAGACCAGAGCCCAGGCAGCTGTTCTCAGGTACTCGCATTCTAGCGTCGTTACCTAAATACGCACCTGCCTCTTCATCTCCTCATTCAACTATCTTACTTGTGAGCCAGACGTATATTTTCTATGAAATTATAGTATTATTTATCATATGACAAATTTTTCAATCCGGAAAAATAAGAGCAAACATTTTGTAATTTTTCCAATTTTCAAGATGCCGCCAGACTCATTTAGCAATTTCGTAAATCAACCAGACTTACTTTTGATTATAGTTTATGACAGTATCAAATGATACGTTAAATTGGGAAAGTAAATGTTACTCATTTCAAAAATCGGAAAAATTTTTGGATCCGCAATTTTTCAGCCAGACTGACGGTTAGGATATGCCAGACTTTTATTTCCATTAATAAAATAATTTAATAAATTTCAAATATTTATGACTGGGAAATAAGTGGACTGATTTTTTTTATGTAGTGAACCCTTCCAAAAATTTTAGCCAGACTCACAAATTGTCATTTTGTATCTCCATCCGAACAAACAATGTCACATTCACCGACTGCGAAAATAAGTATAAAAAAAATTCACTACCTCCTGGACTAAAGATATTTCAACATAATAATTTTATTCGTAGCCGTCATCTTTTTTTTTTTTTTATTCCTCGTAAAATTAATAAATTCCAGGATTTCGTCGAGCAGCTCGGGGCGTGGGCGGTTTATTACCCCATTACCTTTCTTGTATCCGCGCCTGTGCCTGATACGAGTAGAAAATAAGTATTCCTTGCGGTCCCCGCGAAGTTCTCGCGTAAATCGAGCCTTAATAACTTATCTAAAATTCGTTTCTTAAATCAGAGTGTTTTCATCTTGCGCATCAAAAACCATCAACAAGCTCTGATGCGACGAAGATTTTTCCCCAGATGCCAGCAAGGCAGTCTTTTCGCCAGCTTCGTTGAGAGAACAGTCAGGCGAGGAATTATCTATGAGCATGAAATTATTCATTGTAGCACTACTAGTGGACGGCAAACTTTGAATATCCGGTGAAGCTAAAGGAGGAAATGCCTTCGGTGAAGATTCTAAGGGTTCCTTGAGAAGCATCACTGGGTAGGATTCTCTGAAAAGTCAGGCCTATCAAAGATTAGGAGTTTGCAATAACTTGGCTAAAAAACTAGCGAGTAAAAGTTAAATTCAATAAAATTCTATTTTTACTAAAGGGAAATAAGAAATTATTGAGCTTTAAAACAACTGTTTCTGATCTGAATTCGTCCGCAAGGGACCTAATACAAAATTCTTAACCTTTGTTGTACCGTTTTCTTAATTTTGATGGAGATTAAAATCTCCTAATTGAGGTGGTAAGAACTCACATTTTGTTTGCGCACCCTTGGTTGCCATGTTGAAAGAAAAGTTTACAGGTGTCAATTGCGACTAAGTGTTATTATATATTTACTATATCAAGAACTAAGGGGTACCTTTAAAAAAATATATGAAGGTAATCCAAGCAAATATACACCACTGATGGGCGGCAACAGCCGTCCTACAACGATGTATTATAAAACAAGAGATTGATCATGCTCTAATCCAAGAACCTCTTATATACAAGGGGCGAATTAGAGGGTGGCATATATATGTAGGGACTATTACATGATTCACTCAGCGTCTGAGCATTATTGCATTATTACAAATAAAAGTTTTGTACAAATGACCTAGTAACAATATACCTCAAGCTAGATGGAGGAACTAATTGATAGTTGGATCCGTCTATCTCCCTTCCACCTATGAGGTGAGAGAACTGGTTAGTCACTGTAAAAAAAAACAAAAATGAACTTCTAAGGTGTGATGCGAATGCTCACCACGTAGTGTGGGGGAGCTGTGACATTAATAACCAAGGACAAGCTCTTCTAGAATGTATTGCTTCCAATAAAATAGAAGTGGCAAACGTTGGAAATGAACCAAGCTTCGTAACATCTGTGCAAAGGGAGGTAATTGATGTAACTCTTGATACACAATGGGCATGTTCGTTGGTGGGGAAGTGGTACGTCTCAAAAGAAGCATCACTTTCCGACCATAGGCATATCCTGTTTAATGTGGGTACAGAAACTTCGGGTGAAAAGACATTTATCGTAATCCTAGGACCTGTAATAGGGAGACCTTCAAGGAGGAACTTAAGCAGGGAATAAAAGACTGTCCTCCGACAACGAAGAATTCAGTGGAAGTTGAGTTTGTTAGAGTTTTTGACACCAACACGTTAAAAAACTGCCCTATAAAAATAAATAAAGAGGGGTCGAAATGCTGTTTTGTGGAATCTTGACCTTTCAAGAAAAAAGAGCAAAAGTTCGTTATCTCTTTAATCTGGCCAAAAAGTCGAGGAACTGAGAAGTCTACAAGGCGTACTGGAGAGACTATGGTTATGTCATTAGGAAATCCAAAGATAATTCCTGAAAAAAATTCTGTGACGGCATTAAAAGTGGTCCAGAATTTTCCAGACTCAGGAAAGCTCTCCAGAGAGAGATAAGTAAGGATACATGGGATATTTGAAAAATCAACAAGAACTCACAAAAACAGAGGAGGAGACTTTAGATTTATTACTAAAGTCACACTTTCCTGAATGAAAGATTATATCCTTAACCAAGAGAATAGAGTATCGAAGCACTAGTTTCTAGGAACCCAAAAACATATATCAATGGTAAATTTTAAACACAATAGTAAACAGATCAAAACTTGTATGGGCCATAAATTCCTTACAGCTATACAAGACAGCTCGACCAATCGCATAATCCCGGAACTTCTACAAAAGGGTCAGGAAGTACTGGAGGGGCCACTTTTAAATTATTCCGAGCTAGCATAATAATAATAATAATAATAATAATAATAATAATACTCTCCCTAATTCACCCCCTTACGAGTGAATTTTAACCCCAAAAGCTGAGCTTGTCCGGGGAAAGGGACGGCTACTATTATTATTTGCCGTGGCGCTCCGGGGCGACTTAAAGATGATTGATGGTGCCATTTGACTTACAGGTGAGGAAAACCCGGAAAACCTCACCCACCATCATCGAGACGGTAATGTATGGCGAATTTTTTTAATCTGCATGTCATATCAACAGAAATTGAATTTCTATTAATACGCCACACATCAAATCCTAAACCGAACCATGCAATTTAATTAAAAATCCACATGGTCTGGTCTGGGATTCGAAACCCAGCAGTTTCAGACTCATAAACTTGCCTATAAATGAATATAAGCACGATAGACCGCTACACCACCGTGCCCGATAAGCCCTTGGATATGTTCCACAAAGCTGGAGGTATGCAAGAGTTGTCTTTATTCCCAAACCTGAGGAAGCGTCTTATGCGGAGACCAAATGTTTCAGACTAATCAGCCTACCATCATTTCTCATAAAAACAATGGAGAAATTGATCGATAGAGGTTCTATGGGATAACCCGATGCATTGATTGTTTGCCTACTAATCTAGAAAGTCTTGCGATGTAGCCATACATAGGCTAGCTCAAAAGGCTGAACAAGCATTGAAAAACAAAGAAATAGCACTTGAAAGTTTTCCTAAATATAGAAGGAGTCTTTGATTTGGCCCTTCATACAATTCAATACTGGAATCTTGGACATTATGCAGTGGGTTGAGTTTATGTAATCTCTTTAACACAAGAAAGTTCTCAGTTAACACGGGATGCCCGCAAGGACGAGTTTTATCTCCACTGATGTGGACCTTAGTTGTTGATTACCTCTTATGGTAGTTAGAGAGAGAAAATTTATACACATTTGCAGACGACATTAGCATCGAACCCGACAAAACCTCTATTGTTGCATTCACAAGAAAAAGATCTCATCAATCATATAGTGGCACAACAAAAGCAGAACGAATCAATCTAGTACACAGCCGGTTTAAGATGAAAAACAGCAGTGTAGCTGAGATTTACCTTTCCTATTTTCCTGAGATTTCATCACATTTGCTTTGCAGAAAGTATGATAAAACTAAAACACCTTTTTTTAATTCCCAACAAAATGGCATTCATAAAAAAAATTCAAAAAATGTTTCTTCTTTCGTACTATATTGATTTTATGTTTATGAAGATTCAGCCAATTACAAAAAAGGTTATAAACAGTTTTAAAATACATTTTTATTTATTAATTCCCACTATTTTGTTTCTCTTAGCCAAAACCCATTTGCATTTTATGGATATAACTTGAAATTAGGTATTTGTGCTCTTGATAATCACATATGAGATGGGCAAGTGACTGCCTCCCAACGCAAGGCCAACATCAACCAAAGAAAATATAATAGCCTTGCAATAGCCTATCAATCACGGCAAAAGGCCATTATTTTCCTGCCAGTTAATTGTTTGTTGGGTTTCCTCCGCTGCCAAAACCTTGTAAAAAATTAAACTTCAAACTAAAATGACAGGTTTTTAACAAATTGAGAAAAAATCTCAAAGATGAAATTGAAATTTCTCAATCTTTAAACATTTAAAAATTATTAAAATACGTAAAATAAATATTTATTATTGATTCATTGGCAATAACAGATGATATCATTCTCAATAATTTCTTTTATTCCCTAGGATAAAAAAAAGTAATTATTAACCTGTATCCGGATGTGCTAGATGTTTGAGAAATAGCGGAATCCTCATCCCAAGATCCTTCAGGAGCTTTCGATCTAGTTGCTATCCTCAAGCGATGAGAGTCTGATAGAGGCTCATATCTTTGCGGTGTCGGTGTTTCTGCTTTTTGACCGGTTTGAGTTTGTATTGTAGAGGTGCACTGTTGGCTAATCTCTTGAGATTGGGTGGTGACAGGAGGTGTAAGTGGAGGTGACCCAGAATCCTGATGTTGAAAACTGGACAAGCTCGCTTCTGCTTCTAATTTAGCTTGAGCCATCTAGATGGGTATTAATGAACTCATCAAGAAAAAATAATGAAACTTATATGGAATGATCTACAAAAAAATGTTTCTAAAGTAGGCATAGGAAAAATTCACGCATTTCCAAGCTTACAATTCTTCTTATTGTCAAGTGTCAGTTTCGATTTAATTCAGAGTCGTCTGTAGACATCATGGACACGATTCGCATATCTTTGTCGGTTATAGCGAACTCTAGAAACATTTTTTTTATAACACGTTATAACTGCTTACCTCTGCTTGTCTGGTTTTCTTACTCTTTCTTATACGAAAGGTTTTTCTGCTCTGCGGTTTTATTCTTTGCAACCTAGGTTTATTGGGATATACCTCTCCGGAGCTGTCTTCGGCAGGACTCCCTGGACTTAGAGGAGTTGTCGAAGTTTCACCTAATCAAAAAGTTATTACAATAATTTCTATAGTTGCTGAGGATGACTAATGCACAAGTATTGATTTATGTAATGGCTGAAGAATGCAATGGAATAATTTAAATTGTATTTTTTTATACAGGGTCGGTCGGAAAGCAAAAAAATTAAATTTATGCTACATTTATGCAGGATTGTTTAGGAAGTGAGTTGTACTCGTATTTTGTTTTTATAAAAATGTGCTCTGTTTAACTGTAATTTTAACATTCTCTAACTTTCCAACCTGACATACTTATTCGCTAAGTGTTTCGCTTATTTTTTATCATTGTTCTTAACGTTAGAAGACACACTTATTAAAAATATATTTTATTTCAAATAAATGAGTAATTTGTCCAGTATGTTTTGGTGATAAATAAATATTAGGTAGTCAAATTAACAGAAATGTATTTATGTAAAATACCTCAAAGTATTAAATAAATACCTTAACAACAAAAACTCAAAATGCAAATGCAAAATGGTAATTTAATTCATTGTTACATATTTCGGAACTCCTATCTAGGGGAGGATCTGCAAGGGTCAGGCATGTTTTCTTAGATGATGTACTATAATAATTGTTGATGGAAAAGTTGAGATTATTCTATCACCGTTTAAGATTCAAATATAATATTCAAATAAACAATTCGGACATCTGTCTTGATGGCCGAGTTGGTAAGGCAGCGTACGTAAAATGGGGATGTGAGTGTCACGTGAAATTATTTTCAAAGCTTTATTAATTTATCTAATTAGGTCTCTTTATTAATTTTGGACAACAAATTCTCCGAAACCCCTCGTATTCGCGTTTCGCGCATTAATATTTTCTACTACTGAGCCAACTCGTGAAGCGATCCCGGCGCGCGGCTCTGACCGATATAAAAGCCAAGTGAATATATTTGAAAGATAACTCTCTAAACCGCCACTCTACCCCTTAAGCTGACATTAGACCTCAAAATATCAATCCAAATCTTCTCGACATTACTGATGAACCTTCAGCTTAATTGTCGGGAACTTCTGACCAAACTACTTGGGTCTTCATTCCCGGCCATATTCGGCCATTCATGTACCATAACTGGTCATGGAAACATATCAATATTCTCGTTCTCTTCAATAAACCCCGACCTTCAAAAGGAGCCCTTGATCAAAACTCATTTAAATTCGGATAACCTACAAATTCTTTTATTAACAGACACTAAGTTTGAACAACCAATCAATTTTACGGGGTTTCAAACAGTTCACAGAAATAAATCCCAAACTTGCCATGGGAATGCTTTGTTATTCAAAAATTCTATTCTATTTAATATTTACACTCTCCCTGCTCATCTAGCAGACATCGATTTAATCGCAATTGACCTTCCAATAGACAATCCACTAACGATATTCTCATACTTCAACCACCCAGGCCACATCATCTTAACCCTACTAATAGAATATCTATCATCAATTTCTCATGCCGTTTTGCTTGAAGACTTGAACTCCAGACATACTAAGTTCGAAAATCATGCCTCAAATCCAAATGGCATACGTCTAGCTAATCTGCTCATCAACTATCTTATCTCTAGAGCCTCAAATGGACTTCCGATCTTTGTATCTCGAATATACCTAGAATAATCTATTATCGACATAATCCTTCTGACAGATTCCTGTACTGGACTGGTTACTGATAAATGCTTTATTGGAGAGACAATTTCTTCTGATCATCTCCCATTGATGTTAAATATATCTCTATTTCACCCCGCTCCGCTAAGAGCTACAATATACACCTGATATCTCAAAAAACAGATTGGCCACTATTGCAGACATCCCAGGGCCCACTCAATTTCCCACAGGACATCGATTTTCTGGTAACCACAATCACACACGCCGTCGAAACTTCAGCCCCAATTACTTCAACACATCACAAAAAGCCCTTTTCTAATTCATCCTAAATATCATTCTCCAAAAACGCCGACTATATAGACAATAGGTTCGTACCCACGACCCTGTCAGCAAAATCGAATGGAACCGTCTCAACGCCCTGATCAGGCTCAAAACTAACTTGTACAAACAATAACAATGGATCAATGCCACTTCTAATTTAGATCATAAAGATGGTTCCAAGTTTTGGGAAAAATTCCATTATAATCGGTTAAAAACCTAAACTTCATTCCCACATCGAAACCAACAGTGACATACACTCAACTTCCGACAAGAAAGCCTTAGCAGATAAGACATAACTTGAAGCCATTTTCAGAACCCCTGACAACCCCTAATGTGACGACCGTTTCTGACACGAGACCGAACTCAAAGTCCATGAGATACTTGCCGCTCCAGTTACACCTTTGGATGTCGAAAACTCCCTCTTAGACCCAGTCCCCTTTAAGACATCCAATACTCCTGCCAAGCAGGCAAAAACACGGCCTCAGGGCCAGATTCCATACACAGAAGAACGCTAAAATACCTTCCTAAAACTATGTTTTCCCATTACCTTACCCCTGAACGCCTGCCAGACTTTTCATACTTTCCACTTGACTGGAAATCCGCCAACAATATTTTAATTTTCAAACCAGACAAGAACCCTAAATCCTCAGACTCACACCGTCCTATTTCTCTCATATCTGTAAAAGGAAAACTCCTTAAGGAAAGGATCTGGAAATTATGAAGAGCGAAACATAATTCCTCAATCCCAATATGGTTTCAGACCTCATCACTGCCCTCAAGACGCAATCTCTTCACTTCATACTACTGTGGCCACCGCAGTAAACTCTCTCCAAATCTCTTTGGTCATTCTTTTTGATGTTCAAAAAGCCTTTAACCAAGTCAAAAAGCTCATGAACAAAGGTCTCCCCCTCAACATTTCCAAACTTATACACTTATACCTCACTGACAGCATTATCACAGTCAAAGTAGGCAACGCCCAATCAGGCCCATTTAACCCACTTTCTGGAGTACCACAGGGCTCCGTTCTGACTTCTTTCCTATATCTCATATATGCTCTCGACATTCTACCTCCAAACTGCTCTGCTCTCTGTACAATTTCTAATTCGTACACAAAAACTACTGAACTAGTGCTGCCGCTGGTGTAGCAGATGAAGGGTCTCACTTAATCCAAAAAAAAAACAGAATTTATAATTTTTGAACATCCAAACTCTCAAAGAGCCGCCCAGCTTCCCCAACTAGTCTTTGGAAATCCTACGCACTTTCGACAATTTGGATGTTGCAACCCAAACACTCCAATCACACTTGCCGAGTACAGAGCAGTATCTCACAGCGTACTTCCAACACATCTTTTCCACAAACTCACCAGATTCAAGCGACGTTTACTCCGACGATGCCAATAACTTCCCTTTCCCTCTCCCAGTGGGAAGTTTTCGAAAACATCTCCAGCACCTCCATTCTCACAAGTTTCCAAATCTTCAGGAAACAATACGTCTCTCGTACTCTGAAAGGTTCAAACACATATTCCCAAAACACTCTACACATTTCTTGGTACCTACGGCGCCTCCTACTATTTCACAAGCAGAAAAGGAAACTCCCACAACTTAATTTGAGATTACTTACTGACTCTCCAGCAAGATCTCCCACTCATCGCTGGACCAACTCATCCCAATCACATATAAAGCTCATTGTCATACTAGTGTGCAGTATTGTGATTTAGGTTTTTGTGGGAAGATTTCGTTTTATATTTAATGTCTGAGAGTGCCGGATAAATTATATGTTATCGTCAATATTCTCTAGTTTATCTTTGATATGGTATTGTGTTAGTGGAAAATACATATATCAGGTAACTAATTATTTTATTTGGTATTGTATAATTTGGAAAATCAAGTCGTATCTACGAGCCTTATAACTTATTTTAGCTTCATAAGTATTCATATAACTATGTTCAGGTAATTGTAGTAATATTTGTGTTTATATCACCATTTTCGCATCTGTATGTATTGACTTCTTGTTAAGAGTGAAAGTATGATAGATTTACTGTTACTTAGTCTTCTTTTATTTTAAAGAATATATGGGATCCAAGAACCCAGTAGTATCTCAAGTATATTTAGTAGTATCTCCAGGATCTGCAGTAGTATCTTCAGAAGTACCTCCAGCATTGGATCTAGTATTCAGCCCTAGTATCTAGTATTCAGCCCTAGTATCTAGCTTGAAATACCCCAATAGCTCCAGTAAGTTCCAGTAAGTTCCAGTAAGTTCCAGTAAGTTCCAGTAAGTTCCAGTAAGTTCCAGTAAGTTCCAGTAAGTTCCAGTAAGTTCCAGTAAGTTCCAGTAAGTTCCAGTAAGTTCCAGTAAGTTCCAGTAAGTTCCAGTACGTTCCAGTAAGTTCCAGTAAGTTCCAGTAAGTTCCAGTAAGTTCCAGTAAGTTCCAGTAAGTTCCAGTAAGTTCCAGTAAGTTCCAGTAAGTTCCAGTAAGTTCCAGTAAGTTTCAGTGAGTTTCAGTGAGTTCCAGTAAGCTTCAGTAAGCTCCAGGATCAAAATTTTCAGTTCCCAAGGTCAAGAGTCCGAGCTAGTTATAATTGACCCCGAACCGGCTACATCGAGGGACTAGTAAACTCCAGGGAAGTACTACACACCAATAAATTCGTAATCGAAAATCGTAAAATTCAAAAAAATTTTAATACTTTATTGTAAATTACTGTAAGTTTTTACTCGGTATCCGTAAGAATTTTAGTTCTTTTCCTCTTTTACCTACATCCTCTAACAGGTTACTTTGAGGTACCAGAGATGGACTCGATAACCATGACATTAATATCCAGGTAGTTTTCTAAGTTTTGAGAAAATTTGGTGGCTCTGAACATTTGTTTTGGTGTTATCTAATATTTTCTTTTTGTCTTAACGTAACTTAAAGTATATTTTGGCCCGAGAACCGGTCAAACTAATTCTGGATTTAAGTGCTGTGGTCTATTCTAAGAACCCACGTCATACCACCAATTTTGAGTATAATCACAGTACCATAAAAATATTAAAACCATTGAATTCATTAGAGTGGTTCAATGTCAAAGTTGCCTAACCAACAATTTATTATAAGTGAGAAAATGGAGATCAAAGCACTTTACCTAAATCTACTAGACGAAACTGTCTAATATTTAGGTATAAATGGTGGTACCTAAAACGAATATAATTTTAAGGAATAGGCAAATTTGGCATGCACAGAAATGATTTTAAAATAATAATAATAATAATAATATACGAGAAAAGGTTGTTTTAAAATTTTGTTGGTTAGGCATCTCTGGCACTAAGTCTTTCATTATAGACTTAGTAAAACGTGTAACATTATGAATATATAATTGTAGTTGTAGGTAAAATAAAGGTCACTATTCGAATTAAAATACATTATTCGAGTTTCTAATCTAATTGATGGTTTTACCTGATGAATGTCTAAATTCTACGGACGATACGAAACGAAGTTTATGGGCTTTATGGAACAGAAGGGATTCTGATTTGGGTAAAGGACCGTGGTCATCGCTCACTGAAGATCTTTGGGAGGACCGATCTGAAACATTGACATGCACACATCGAATAATCTAAACAATCAACAAGGTACATTAAATATTTCTGGAAATAGCATGCCATCTACTTGTGAATAGAGGATTTCACTTGTGTATTGGTAATTTTTGCTTATTAGCTTATAAAAACAGTCATAACCTTTTCACATGTAGGTGGTTTTGCTGTAAGATACATAGGTACATAATAGGCGAGGAAGTGGTGAAAGTGGTAAGAAAAGTTAGTAGAAAAATTAAGAAGGTCTAAGATTTATGATTATACCATTATGGAAAACTTTGAAGTCGCAAAAAATCCCAAATAAAAGTTCTGTTTTACCTAATTGTTGAAAAAATCCTATTTCAAATAAAAACTCATCCTAATAAAATAATACATTCTTATTCCATGAAATTAATGTTTTGTTGCAGAAATAACATCAAACATGAAAACAAATGCTGTATCACTTGCTGGCCTAAATATTAACGTTATCAAAATGTTGAGTCTGTATATAATTTGCTATAGAATAACACACATTATAAATTTCTGTTGGCCGTTGTTAATTATTTATCTAAAAAAAAACGAATCTACAGAGTTCAATGGCCTAAGCCATATTAGCAGTTTACCAACACTTGTAAAGATTTTAATAATACACACATTAAAACTAACTCTGTATTACCAACTACACAGTCTGGAGTTCTATGGGGATTTGTACCCCTGCTCCTCTTTACATAATTGATGATATTAAATCCCAAGATTCTGGTTATTGTACAATTTTAGTTCAGCTTGATTTTAGTAGGTCTTCTACACTGTCAATTACAAACTTTTTTTGCGATTCTTGGTTATGTATTCCTAACAAAAAAATGCAGTTATTCTAATTAGCTCCAATTTAAAGAAGGTCTAATTATGTCTTACGTCCGGTGTAGCTTTTAAATAATTATTTATATGCAGATGACACACATCTTTTTTGAGTTTTAATCCTGATTCTGTAGTAAATGATTCCGTGTAAATAATGATTATTAAATTAGCCGCCGATCATTGTTTTTGTATTAATTTTAGTAAATTCAATATAGTTTTTTAGGTTCTCAAGTGAAACGTAACTACATTAAATAATGTTAATATCGAAATAAATAGAGGTCCTCTCAAAATTTTAAATGAAGCTAAAAGTCTTGGGTTCATATTAGACTCTGATCTTATAAACTATCTATATTATTAAAGTAATATATAGCAACAGAAAATTTCTTCCACAAGAAATTAAAAAAATACTGTGTGATTCACTTGTTTTGTCAATTTTTAATTATTTGGACACTTCTCTTGTCCATTTTAAAATAAATAATATCGGTATAAAATTATTTTTTAAGGCTTATTTTTAGAATTAGAAGAACAGAACGAATTTCATAAATTTAAAGATATTAGGTGGTTGAAGATGAAACAGGAAGACATTACATGCAGTCGTGCTTTTCCATAAAATTAATAAACAAAACGCCTCCATATTTATACTTTAAAATTAAATACGGCACTGATTTGCATTTATTCTCAATACAAGGTCTAAATCTAAATGCTTATTAAGTCCAGCTTTTAAACTAGGAATATTTCGATCTTTCAAATTGGTTTAATAACATTTCTGAAAATATGAAACAATTTAAAAGTGAAATGTTTAAAAAACAGTTATCAACATTTTATAAACAAATTCCTAGCTAAAATTAAAATTGAACATACATGGTGTCCCGAAATTATACGGTCATATTTTAACAGAGTAATCTACATGCTAGAATAGGAGCAAAAGTTCATATACACATAGGTCCGAAAATGTTTCGTTTCCGAGATACAGGGTGTTAAAAGTGAAGCCCTGATGACCATTTTTGGAAATATTTTCCAAACGTTTAAAGATAACTTAGTGAAATTTGGTAAAAATACGAAACACTTTACGCTCTATTTAATGGACTGAACTCCAGTTTTTCATCATCTTCATAGGTGTGTAAATTAGAGGAGAGGGGGGTTTAGGGTAAAATTGCCCTTCGTTTTTTTGTTGACAGTTTTTAACATTTTTGGCAATAAAATTTGGAAAACGAATGTTTTCTTTATAATAAAGCTACTTGTGTTGCATCTCGCTCGGATGCACCATTTTCAAGAGAAAAGCGTTTGAAAATTCCATAAATGGAAAATTTCATGATAAGTTCATATTAACTTAATCGAAAGTGCAAACAATAATGAGTAGGCTTGTGGAATCAGAATTTTTTTTTTCAGCTTACGAAAACCGGTGACTAAAGAAATTTATTTAGCTTTAATTATTTTTTAAATGTTTATTTTATAAATAAACTTTAAATGGTACAACTAAATAGTATTTAAACTTTAACTAATAACATGTTCTTTTTTTCCAAATGGTTTGGTTGGCTTTGGCCCAATTAAACTAGTGAGAATTTATTTCGTTAACAATCAACGTTTAAACTATTTTAAGGTAATCCTTAGGACAGTAAAAGTAAGTCAGATATATTAAATATCGTAAAAATATGAAACTGTATTTGAAATTAATAATACTGGTGATTTCTTTAAAATAGAAAGTTTGACTGAGTTAGAGAAGAAATCATTAGTTATTTTTAATTGATTATAACTTTAAGATTTTAAACGTGAAGTATCTACTTTTATTGTCGTGAGCATGACTTAAAATAGGTCAAAATTTCGCCTATACAAAAATTGTTTTTTATATTTTACTAAAAATTATACTAAAAATAACAAAAATTCTACTAGAAATATCAAATTTTACAACAGTCAGTTAAGTGTTCAGAAAGTTTAGCATTTGTACCAAATTTCACTTAGGTATGTTCAAATGTTAAAAAAATATTTACAAAAATGTGTCAACAGGACTTCACTTGTAACACCCTGTATCTCGGAAACGAAACGTTTTCGAATCTACGTTTATATGAACTTTTACTCCTATTTTTGGATGTAGATTACGCTATTAAAATATGACCGTCTAATTTCGGGACACCCTGTATACAGTGTATCCACGGATGGACTTAATTGTAAAAAAAGGCATTCTTCATAATTTCGTTTGTTAAATAAATACGATTCACGTAAAGTAACTTCGATTTTGTTGTACAGGATTCGTAATAAAAAATACATTTGTGGATTTGCTAAATTAAAAATGTTTTAATACAATTTTCTTCAAGCGCTCAAATGAAAAACTTGTGAAGAGAAATCGAATATCCAAATGAAGTTTTTTTAGCAATGCGGTTCCGAAAAATATTTTTAATTTTGAAAATCCACAATAATTGTTGCATTTTGTGTCCCCGGATAGGTGAAACACTCTTGAAAAAGGTACAACCTTCTCGATTTAAATTTTTATTTTCTGGGGTTTAACTCTGCTTGTTCAAAGACTAATTTACAGTTTCAACATTATTTTAGTTTTGAGAAATAAAGGATTTTCAGAAAATCTATTTTTTCAGGAGTAAAGTGGCTTTTATATTGCAAATATGACCAAAAGTTAATAAGAAAAAAATCCTCGGCGAATTATGATTTTCTTTTATTTTGTCAATATGGTAGCTTTTCGATAACATATGTCAAAGAGTTGCTTAAAATCAAAATATATGAGGCGATTTTAAATCAGATAGGGACCGTGCGTGAAATATAGAGGCAGCACTACTGCCGAACTTAGCCCTCTCTAGTGTTTAATTTTAGAATTAAATGGGGTAAACATTGCAAGTAAATAATGAAGGGTATTTTTTTAAATATTAAATATAGTTAAAAATAGATACCGGCCCGTACCAAACAATCGTGTACATGGTCAAAATGACGTAAAATGTGAAACATTATTAAAATCTGGACATGCATATACATTTTAAGCAAAAAGATTTAAATGGCTAAGTGACAATAAATTGTAAAGTTGTACCTTAAACAAGTGTATCCAATGTTAAAATATAGGTATTTAGTAACACCGAATTTAAAAGTATTACAATAACATTTAAAAAATGTAAATTAATAAAAAAGATTGATAATAATAATTATAAATCTTTTTAGCTTTATGTTAATCGAAATGTCATTCATCCACTGGCGTTTATGAGATGTTCAATGATACATATATTATAGATTGCTCACCCAAGTATAAAAAAAATTATGAAAAGCTGGTTGCAATGTGCCTTTCCTAGTGCTCACTAAATAGAGCCGTTCTAGCCCAAATGTGTTAAAATAAAATTTCAGCATTTTAATCTTTAGAAAAAGATAATAATTAAAGTTTTACTTCAAGACATGTCATTATGTATTTGGAAAGTTGAGTTTTCATGTAGTTAAATAATATTAAGAGATCTAAACAATTTTTATAACAGATGGATATAAATAATTTTAGACTACTATTTCAGAAACAATTCTACATAAAATACATAATTGCAATATGTAATACAATTTTGAAAAGGTAATGTAAACAATTTTGATATGAGGTATGAACAACTTTGGTAAGAGTTGTAATTGGACACTTATCTATTATTCTGAATAATGTTTAATGGTAATGTCACTAAAAAAATTTACAAAAAATCACTGGATTTTTAATATTTTAAAGTTTGTTACAATCTCTTTTGACAGTAATTGCAATGTATTATTTATGATTTGTTTATTTTAATAATAAATGAGAAATAGTTAATAAATTGTAAAGAGGGCCGTGATATTTTTGTCAAATTGGATATTCTTATTTCATAACATTCTACATTAGTTTTAATCAACAGAATAAACCATTATCTGTAAAATATATTTATATAAAATGGTCATTTAAATATGTAAAAATCTTAATGACAAGAAAACACTAAAGATTCTAATTTTTCTGTAAATGATTTCTTTACAACTAAGTGCTCAAAATTGATACAAGCTAGATAAAAAGAAAACTTTGCCCAGTGAAATACGCTTTTCGTCGTCCGATTTACCTATGGATAAGCAATCTTTGTAATTATGTATATCATTGGGTGTGAGGCATAATTGTGCTCTGTGGAAATTTATAAAATTTCTTTACTATCGAATGAAATCCAGGTTTCTAAAGTGATGTGTTTGTACATCCACGGATGCAACAAGTTTTTTCGATATTGATATTACGAAAATAATTCGACTTCATTTTATTAATAATTATTAAACAATAAATGCCGTATAAAACATTAATAAATACCCCCCAAAAAGTTCACATTTTTGTCACCAGTTAGCGTTAAAGTCATGACGCACGGTCCCTATACTATGTCTTGAATATGAATGACTACACTGATATAAATCAAAAACAATGACGTCGTATTGAATATTGTCTTGAATTGGTCAAGTTTAACATGACTATAGTAAAAACGTGGTCATCACAGTATGAAATGTCAAATGAAATTACAAATGTAAAACTTTTACTTTTTAATTATTAAATTATTGTTTGGTTGTGTTACTTGTAAAATCGAAAGAAAGGCTGTGTATAGAGGGTTGCCAGGTTTACGAAAGGGAAAAGTGGGACAACGGTGACGACAGTGATCAAGTTAAAAAAAACAGGTATTTTTATAAAATAAGATCATTTCTTTGTGGGGATCTAAAAAAAGTCCTCCGCTTATATTTTTATAAACCATCAGGTCTTTTTTCTGAGAAGCTTCTCCAAAAAGGTCAAAAATTGTCAAAAATTTCTTTATATATAACTTTGGATTTAAAAAGGGTAGCATTTAGTTGAAATGTGGGGAATTTTCGTACTTTGGCGTAAAACGTGCTAACAAGTTAAACAGCGGGACAATTACGCCTAAAGCGAGCCGTCTGGCAGCCCTAGCTGAGTACCTAGATATGAACGTATTTGTAACTAAAAAGCCAATTTATTTTCAAGAGAGCCAAGATTTATTGATGAACATGGCAAAAGGTTTGAGAAAATTTCAGAGGCCAAAGCAACTACAACACCAATTTTCTCTTCATCCGTGATCAGTACACAAAACAAATATTAATTTTTTATCCTTACAAATTTAAAACCAAATCCTAACTACAATTCATAATACAGAAACTAAAATTGGCGATATCTGACAATGTCATGGGCATTGTCAAGTTAGTGTCAATATAAACCAAACATTTTTAAATCAGATTAATAAAACGTCATTATAATGACGTCAGAACCTTGACCATTTCTAGTAACTGATTTAAAATTGCCTATATCTGTATCTCAAATTTCAAAATCCTTGACCAACTTTGATCTTTCATATCGACAAACTAAATGGAAAATCATAGTTGGCCGTAGATTTTCAAATTCGGTATATGGATTTAGATGGTGATTCTAAAAAACTTTTTTCTTAATAACTTTTGGTCATATCTGCAACATAAAAGGCACTTTACTCTGGAGAAAAATAGATTTTCTGAAAATTTCTAAGACATCCTTGATTTCTTAAAACTAAAATTATGTTGAAAATTAGTCTTAGACCAAGCAGGGCTGAATCCCAGAAAATTAAATGATAGTACCTTCTTCAAGAGTCGTTTCACCTATCCGGGGACACACTGTATAAATCACAAACTTAAAATTCGCTCTTATTTAAAATTTTCATTGTTGTAATAATTGTTTTTTTTTTAAGAATTTAAATATGAAGACGTTTTATTAATATTATTATTATTATTGGCATAAACATCTGGTTAATTTTTAGGTAGGGTGTAAAGGGTTGAGGGTAAAATTTTGTTATAATTGGGTAAATATTAAAATTTTTGGGTGAAGATGTTATTTTTAAGATTAAGTCTATTGTTGGTTATTTGCGTTTGTCGGATCAATTAAGATAAAGTTAGTAATTTTGTTTTAGTCCTTAACTATATTTATTTTATTAAAATTTATTTTATTCCAATATATTTTGTTCAAAATTTCTTCCATTTTCTAAAATAAATAAAATTACTCTTTATAATGTTTGAGATAATGGGTCCTATGATTGAACGTTTACGTTAAGTTTAACACGAATCTGTTATGTTATGCTAACAGGGAACAGATAACGTATGAAATAACAGTAGGTGTCATATCCGTATGATTGAAGTAGTCGATAACAGAAGATGTTGAGCTGGCTGTTATGAATGGAAGAAAGTATTTATTTGCGTTATTGCGCGTGCGCACAAAATGTACCTAACTTCACTTCATTTCTAAAAATGACTAAAATGAGGTTTTTCATGTTTTTCTGAATGAAAAAAAAAAAACAACAATTAGGTTAGAATTTTTTGTAGTTCATTTTTCAGTTTTATTTAATTTTTTATGGCGAAAAGATTAGCTAAAACAACTGTGTAATAGTATGAGAAACTACATAATTTTGTTAGAAAAAACAAAATTATTCTCACGGGGAAAACAAATATATTAGATAAAAAAAATCAAACCTTTGGCTAGTATTTACAAATCATATAATTTAAAAACAAATTCAAATATACTAAGAATTCAGATAATTAACAATATAGGTATTAGATAATTAAATAATAAACAAATAAAGTGGTAACATAGACGTTGGACACTTAACGGCATGTTATTCGAGGCTGTTGAGGCGATACGTTAAATTAGAACATAACAGGTGGAAAATAACAGTAACGTGTTATGAAAAACTTTACATCATACGAATTTCTCTCGTTGCTGTTAAAACTCGGCCTAACATGTACGTTACGGATAACGTAAACGTTCAATCATAGGACCCATTGTATTGTATGCTTTGCCAGCGCTCTCTGTAAAATTGACTGTATAGTATCATCAACATACCCTATTATAATGTTGCTTGTAGTATAAGCATAAAGAAATCATTTACATACAGATTAAAGAGTACCCTTGAGAACACCGTATTTTGTATATTTCTCCTCGCTAGGACAATTTACCTCCTTTAACATCTTATTTTCTGATCCGAAAATAGATCTTAAATATATTTAAATAATTCCCTCTAACTCCTCTAAGGTTCGTAAAAGTAGGAAATAATCGACACTATTAAAAGCCTGACTGTCGATGAAAACTCAAAGATAAGGTTTTCCTCTTTCAAGTGATTGATCAGCTCTAAATGGCATCTTCGATACAGTCGATATTAGTTTATATTTATTTAAGATGTTGCTTAATCTGTTTTTATATATTTTTTAAATATTTTAGGTGCATGGGAAATTAGTAAAATTGTTATTAACTGATATTTGATCTCATTTTTTTTAATTGAACTGATTATTGTTTTTTTTTTTAATTTTTCTGGACAAGTTTCAGTATCTAGGCATACATTGATTATGTGTTATGTAACAATTATTGGTTTAGACTTAGCCAATTTGTCATGTTCCAGCTCTTATGATTACAATTCAGAAAATTAAACGCTAACATCAAACCATAAATTTTTAACAAAAAACTGGCCATGCCTCCCAAGATCATACTACGAATTTTTCTTACCATCCTCTTAGTTACTAACTTAAATTTACTAAAAACCAACAAACGAAATCTTGAACCATAAATATTATGACAATTATTTCTGGATAAAATTAATTCTTACCTGGTTGTGTCCCAGGAGTGGACTGGCCATTAGGTGGTGGTTCTTGTGTCTCGTTTAAATTTGGCGCTTGATTTGGTGTAGAACTGTGACTGCTTGAAGATTCTATAAAATCAATAATATAGAATCAATAAAACATTTTTTGTTTCACTTATTTATTCTGGAATCCTCTTTTGGGATTCTACGAGTATTATTTGCCCAGGAATCTTACCTTTTACTTGAGAATGCATGACATCATGCGTTGGCGCAGATTTCGATTGATGATGACCATCGCCAGTGAACAGCCCAATTAGAGAATGTCGTTGATGGCGTGTACCAGATACTTCTGTAGTCATTTGACAAGTAGGTGTCGAATCTTTTTTAGGCTCAGACGATGATTCTGTGGCTAAAATAACACAACAATAATTTCTATTTGGAGCAGGCTGAAGAGTAGTTTTTAAAACAATGAAAGAGGAAGGTAGTGTCCAAGAGAATTTCAAATAGTTATTTACAATAGGATAGTAGATAATAAGGCAATGGGAAAAAGAACTAATGAACATATTAAGTGACGTTACCAGAAGAATACGACAGGAAGAAATACCAGGATATTGTTTAGCTATAATTCGCCAAATTTATTATGGTATGATAGAATGAAGAAATTAATTTGTTATCAAAGTAGGATACAAACATAATAAGTTCAATTCAAACAGCTCGCATATGATGATACAGAGAGTAGCCATAGGGTAATAATTAAAGATCGAGAAAAGAAAATAAAGAGCATTTGAATCTCACAAAGATTAAATGAAATTAAATAACAAAATTGTGTTATGTCAACAGTAAATAAAATGAAACAATGAAACCAAAAATTTTGAATAAATCGAATAAAAGGATAATTAATGAACATTTTAAATTGCTATTTGTTAACGAAAAGAGAATCTGAGAAGAAAAGCTTTTTTCTATCTTAATTATTGTACTTGTTAAAACTTTTTGGTCATTTTTACATTAACATATATTTTAGTGAATAAGTTACTCGTCCATGTGATGTACAAAATCATATTTTACTGAACTTCAACAATAAAAGTATTAGTAGTAACAGGTGAATTTAAATTTAATATACTTTCTATCAACTTAAATCTAAAGAACCAACTGCTATATATACAGTCCACCAATAAAATAGATATAAATTATCAATGGGGACTGTAGCATTCAAATTTATATGCCATAATCCGAGAGTAATTTTGTGGTGAGTTTTCAATTTTTTTCAACCTATTCAGTTTTGTTTTTCTTCTTTTTCGTGGTCTACGTCTACTCTTTTAACGAGTTCGTTATCATTTTTTGTTTTCTAATTGTTTTCACTACGTTAACAACATATTATCTTCTTCCAAGGTGTGCCAGATGACGAAGTAATATGCAACTTCGAAACCGGTAGCAATTTGAGAAAAAATACACATCTTTGTGAGATTCAAAAGATATTTTTTACTTCGATTTTAAAAATTAATAAGTCTTTCAAAATAGACTTCATTGCAAGGTGTGTCGAGCTAAATGTACCACAATCTACGAATTAGTAAGATAATTTAATTGTATAGAGATGTTTAAGTAAAAGCAGATGGTGATGAAATATTTACCATCAAGTGTTCCAAAATTTGGGACAGATATTTTTTTCCAAAACATATAGTATTGATTTAAATTAATAATAACAGTGACTTACATTCATCCAATTCTTCTTTTAAAAGTTTCATCTCATGTGCCAGTTCGACTAACAAAGCGCCCCTACTTTTTGAAAGAGGTAAGCCGATGCTGCGCATTTTGTTTCTTATTTTGGTGTGCATATTGCGTTCGAAATCAGAAATAGGCGGTTGGGCCAACTGAAAAACAAATTTAAAAATAATTTTCAAATACCAATCAAAAATCCATGCGTGCGCCGAGCTGGTTTCGAACATGCTGTTCCTATTTTTCGATTCTAATATCTTGACCACTTGACTCGTTTTGTTATTATACCTATCTTAGAAAATATTCAAAATAGATTTTATTTTAGATTAATATATACAGGGTGTTTCAGAATAAAGTACCATAAACTAATTATTAAAAAAGTTAAATATAATTTTCCCGTAAACGTCCCAGATTTCATGCTACAAGGTGATAAAGTGAAATTCATAAATACATAATTTTCAAAATATCTTCCCTTACGGTAAAGACTTTCACTTAAAAATAGGTATATGTTAGTTAATCGTCTTTATTGGCCTATTTTGATAAATTACGATAATCCATTGGCGTAGAATCAAGAGTTAAGAAAACAATTTTAATCCAAACTTTTTGAACACCCTATATTTTATAAAAGTTGAGATTAATAATTATTCCTCACGCAATTTGTCACGAAAAAGGAACTCTTGTTTGATGTTTGTAGAACATTCCATTTCATAGATATTTCAGTCTTAGTTTTAACTTTTAAACAATGTCAGCCTAGCGATATATTTAAAATATCATTTATTAATAATAGTATGTGAAATATCTTTTGACTCCATTAGAGATTTGTTCAAGTTTACCTATATATAAAACTTACAGGAACCATTTACGATCCCCGTTGACTTACCTTTTGAAATATAAATGGTTGCATCAAAATATACAATACAGTCCTATGAGTCACCACGAAATCTAAAAAGTCCCAAACAAAAGTTGCTGCTTCATTTCTTTTACCCAATTCCCTCATGGTTCTCCCAATTCTTGACCATTCGCCCATGAGTTCTCCTTCGAAACATATAGCCATTATTTTCAAGGCTAAAACGAACAAAAATCAATTATTACCATCCTTCCAATTATAAATACTAGGTTGTTATTATTTTAAAGAAAAACAAAAAATTCGCGAAACCATGTGTCCCATTATTTTACGAGTGACCGTTCCCTCCGGAAAAACATTTATTTTTCTTTTTGAAAAATTCGACGCCTGACTAGTTTTTGAACTGAATACTGCAAGAAAGCTTTGATTTTCCTTACTAAGTGTAAATAGCGTTAATTTATGACTTTCTAGCTGACGAGTCCTAATATGAACGAAACCGGTCCTTAGTAACCAAAATCAAATTTAGATTGATGAAAATAATTTTCTATATCTGTTATTTTTCTTTGGTTATAATTCAGTCTGGTGCGGTGTTATATATTTAATAGACCATTTTATATACTGCATAATAAAATAGTCGTTAGTATGAAGACTAGTCTTCATAGTCGTTAATGTTTAGTTTCTATGCATTCATATTTTTGTGACTTAATTCAATTCATGTCAAGATATTAATTTGTAACGTCAACCCTTTATAATAAAAATATTAATACGCGGGTATTATCATTTCAATCAGTACAAAATAATTTGGCGACGATTGGAAAAAGTACGTAAAATAATCTTCAGTCTAACTAGAAGAACGAGTCCAAAGTATGGCTGAGAAGTTAGCCCCTCTAATAGACGCTCTCAGTGGGTTAATCTCAACTCTCCAGCACCAACAAAGACAAGAGAAGAGTGTTAAAGATGTTCTCCAGACACAAGCCATTTCACTTGAGTCATTCGATGAATCAGCGGAAACCTTTGATACTTATTCTCAACGCTTGCAAAAATTTTTCAAATTAAAAGGATTAAGTAAAAATAATGAAGAAACTAACGAAGAAAAAGTAATGGTTCTTATTAATTGTCTTGGTAGTAGACATTACAAATTGCTATCTAATTTAACATCCCCAGATCTTCCTGCTTCAAAAACTTACGAAGAACTTATGAGCCTTCTAAAAAACCACTTATCTCCTAAAATTAATGTATTGTCAGAACAACATAGATTTTTTTCTCGCATTTAAACTCCAGGAGAATCTATCGCTAGCTATATTGCCGAACTAAAAGACTTAGTTAAAAATTGTGAATTTAAATCTAAATGCAACAGTATTCAATGCACTAAATCTGTAATCGACATGCTTCTAAGAGCTCAGTTTATAAGAGGTCTCCTCGACACAACAATCCGTGAAAGAATCCTTCAATTGGTCAATGTTTCCCTCGAAAAGGCCATAGAAACAGCATTATCAATCGAAACTGCAAGAATTCTGAACAGGGAACTATATAGAAGTATTCCTTCAACTTCAAATTTAGTCAATCAACTTAATACACAACAAAATAAACGCACTCGATCCAGTAAATAAAACAAATCTTTATTCTACGAACCAGAAACATAAAACCAGATCCGACACAGTCAATTTACAAAAATTAGGACTAGCAGGAATATGCTTACACTGTGGTAAAACAAATCACATAACTTCAAAGTGCCTTTCAGTAAACAAACTTCAATGCAAAAGTTGCAAAAAACAAGGTCACATCGATAAAGTATGTATAACCAGTCTTTTAAAATACCGAAAGTCTGTTCAAAACATTGATTTCGATTCCGATAGTTCTGATACCGAAGATTTTTCAATGAATCAAATTATCGACGTTTTCTCTGGATCTGCATCTGTTTTTGAGCCAAAAATGTTTATTGAATTAAATATTCAAGGTAAACCCTTCCAATTTGAATGTGATACGGGAAGTCCTGTCAGCATTATTTCTCAAAAAGATTATCATCGATTGCAATTGGACATTCCCATTCAAAAAACTGAAGTTTACTTTAGATCGTATACGCAACATCTATTCAAGCCAATAGGCTTTGCCAGAGTTCAAGTTACATATAATCACAAAACTATCACGGCGGATCTGTACATCGTTTCAAATTATGGTACTGCTATTATTGGAAGAAGATGGATAAGAGAACTAGAAGTAGATTTGTATAGCATTTCATCAGTCTCATCTACACCACCTTCCCTCATAAATATTTTAAGTCAATTTCAAGATATCTTTAAACCAGTAGTTGGCGCTGTTCCAAATTTCAAATGTACACTAAAACTTCGTTCTGATGCTAAACCAGTCTTTTTAAAACCTCGAAGAGTACCTTATGCACTTCAGGAATAAGTTAACAAAGAACTTGATTCCTTGGAACAAGAAGGTATAATTACGAAAGTTGATTATTCATAGTGGGGTACTCCTTTAGTCATAATACCTAAAAAAGATGGTAAAGTTCGAATTTGTGCCGACTATAAAGTTACTGTTAATAGTCAACTTCAAGATAATCGCTACCCTATACCCAGAATAGAAGATATTTTCAATAAAATGGAAAATGGAGTATACTTCTGTATCTTAGATATCTATAAAGCTTATTTACACATTTAAGTTGACAACGAAAGCTCAAAAATTCAAGCCCTGTCAACACATCGAGATACCTATTTAGCCAATAGATTATATTTTGGAATCAAAACAGCACCCAATGAATTTCACAAAATATTAGACCAGATTTTTCATGATTTAGAAGGAACGACCCTGTATTTCGATGACATACTGGTCCAGGGTTCATCTATATCTCAATGTACACTTCGACTAATTAAGGTATTGGAAAGACTACGCAAATACAACCTTCACCTTAATATTTGGGTCACACTATATCTAGTAGAGGCCTACAGAAGTCAAACGATAAAATTCAAGCAGTCCAGAATGCACCCCGGCCCAAAAATCAAGAAGAAGTTCAACAGTTTTTAGGACTAATAATGTACTATTCTAAGTTTATTCCAGATGCTTCAACTGTTCTTCATCCTTTAAACCGCTTGCTCAGAAAAAATGTTCCCTTTAAATGGAATAAATCCTGTGAACAAGCCTTTCTTCAAGCTAAGTCTGAAATTGCAAGTGATCGGGTGTTAATACCATTTAATCCAGACCTAAATGTCATCTTGGCAACAGATGCGAGTCCATATGGATTGGCAGGAGTTTTATCTCATCGATTCCAAGATGGTACAGAAAGGCCAATAGCTTTTATATCCAGATCTTTAACTAAAGCCGAACAGAATTACAGTCAGCTAGACAAAGAAGGTACTGCAATATACTGGGCTTGTAAAAGACTCATTTCATTATATCTACGGACGTAAATTTACGTTAATTGTTGACAATAAACCACTTTTTACAATTTAAAATCCGCAAAGACAACTACCAACCTTATCAGCAACTAGAATGTTACGTTATGCGCAGTTTTTAACTGGATTCAACTATGACATCGAATGTAGGAAGTCATCAGAACATTCAAACGCAGATTATTTTTCAAGAAACCCTTTAAAATTAACTCCAGAAGAAGAAAAATATATCGATAGCGTATATTTAACAAATATTGATCTATTTTATAAAATAAGTACAGATACTATAACCGCTGAACGTATAATAGAAGAAACAAAACATGATCCTGAATTATCTAGACTCAAAGAAGAATTACTTCAAGGAAGTAGAAGAGATCCTGAGTTATCTCTACAAGATGGTATACTTTTCAGAGGTCACCGTGTTATTATACCAAAGTGCTTGCAACCATCTATTCTACAAGAACTACACTCTACGCATTTAGGAATCGTTAAGATGAAAGCACTGGCCCGGAACTATTGTTATTGGAAAAACATTGACTCTGATATTGAAAATTTAGTTAAAAGTTGTTTAGCATGTAGTAACGTTCAAAAAGATCCAACAAAATCACCCATACACCATTGGGAATGTCCTGAAAGAAACTGGCAAAGAGTACACATGGATTACGCAGGTCCATTTTTAGGACACCACTTTTTGATTGTTGTTGACGCCAAATCTAAATGGCCAGAGATCATGATGATGAAAAGTGCTCCAACGACCAAAAATACTATTTATTATCTCGGAGAGATTTTTAGTCGTATGGGTCTACCTGAAATATTGGTGAGTGACAATGCTTCAATATTCAAATCTAAAGAGTTCGCAGATTTTTGTATAAGAAATGGGATAAGTCAGAGATTCATTGCACCAGGCCATCCATCTACAAACGGGCAAGCAGAAAGATACTGTCAGACACTTAAGGCAAAACTTATACGAATGATGCACGAACCAGGAGATCTTCATGAAAAATTATGCAGAATATTGTTTAGGTACCGGGTTACACCATTATCATCAGGAAAGTCACCATCTGAAAATTTATTTGGAAGAAATATTAGGACAAAATTAGATTTGCTACGGCATAAATCAAAGGAAAACAACAGTATACTAATAGATTTAAAAAAATCCTTCAATGTAGGTGACAGGGTACAATCTAGAAACTATTCAACACCCATTAAGTGAAAGTATGGCATAGTAATTCAACGTTTAGGTCGACTACATTATCTAGTGGAACTAGATGATGGATATAAAATTAAACGTCATTATGACCAACTTCGTCCCAGCAATGTTTACCATTCTAATATTTTTTCAAATACTAGTGAGCATAATGATATTGATGATACAGTGATATCAAACGAATTAAGTGTACCCTTGGAATCTAAAGATCACGAGACGAATCTTGACCATCGAAAAGAAACTAGCCAGACTGAAATAACTGACCTGACTCGAGACCTTGAATATGAACCAATTAATAAAGAAAACCCCGATCTACGTCTTCAAGAGAATCAAGAAAAGCAAATACCGTCACATCCGTCCAAACCACCGGAGGTTTTGAGGAGATCCACTAGAACCCGTAATCCCATTCAAAGATTAACCTATTGAATGTCTCAGAAATTACAAGGGGGAGAATTGTTATATATTTAATAGACCATTTTATATACTGCATAATAAAATAGTCGTTAGTATGAAGACTAGTCTTCATAGTCGTTAATGTTTAGTTTCTATGCATTCATATTTTTGTGACTTAATTCAATTCATGTCAAGATATTAATTTGTAACGTCAACCTTTTATAATAAAAATATTAATACGCGGGTATTATCATTTCAATCAGTACAAAATATGCGGTATTAGCCAAAGGAGTAGTTGTTTTCCGAAAATTTCTTGTTTTTCTTTATTTTTCGTCTTAGTCACATTTGAGTTTGGAGTTATTTTCCTTTTTATTATTTTGTTTAAAGAAAGTCCTTACCAAGAAAAGCGACTTGATACAAAGAAGTATTAATTTTGGCAGAAGTTTTGGTGTCTCTCGTTCCGGTAAATGTCAAACTTCCGGTGCGGTTTTCAGCAGTTGGTTTGACATTAGTTCCAGATGGACCCAAATTTTTAGTATTTGGCGGACTCATTGCGTGAAGAACCAACGTCAAAGCGAAGCTTATGTCGCTTTGCTTCATTTGACCAACGTCTAAACAAATATTAAATTAATAAATGTTTAAAGTTAATAGTTTTGTCAATTACCTGTTCTTCCAGATCCTACTCTTAAGCATAGGGGCATTATTAAATTTATGATCATGCTTTCAGTCTTATCTTGAGTTGGAAATACTGAACTACCTCCACACACTGTTTCTAAAGTAGTACAAGTATCCTAAAAATAACCAATATCAGTAGGCAATAATGCTCATGTATGAAAAATTTTAACTGGTAAAAACACAATATATTTTTAATTAATTTGATTTAACTCTAAAAATATCACAAACAAAAAAATGTACGTAAATACAGCATAATAGAATAGTACCATATGTAAAAATAGAAACAGTGGAATTCGCCATTTTTGGGACTAATATCATAATAGAACCGTAAAGATGGATTTAACCTAATGAAGCTTTTATTTAAAGATACGCCTATGGATGTTTTCCATACGACGAGCAGATGGTGACGAGCTCGTCGCCATGTTTCGCCAACATAATCAGTTGTCTAACTCCTAATTGGAGAAGGCATGATTTTGGTGTTGGCTTCATAACAAATACACTTTTGGGCATGTGAGCACTTTTTCTATCACTAAATAGTAGAAAGCAGAAAAATATACCAGAATTCTCCAAAACAATGTCAATAAACGTATTATATTTGATAAATTATTATAAAAATAAAGACTATTGAATAGAAAAGTAAATCTAATAATCAATTTATCAAAACTAATTCAAATCGAAATATGGTTACCAAATCTTCCATTCTTAAATATCATAAACAAAAAAAATCTTTATATTACTTTAATTTTAAATGTAAAATATTTATACAGGGTGTTTCAGAATAAAGTATCGTAAATAGAAGGACTTTTAGATCTAAACTAATTATTAAAAAAAGCTAAATATAGTTTTCCTGTAAATGTCCTCCTCTTTATGCTGATGAAGTAAATAACATAAATTCATAATTTTCAAATATCTTCCCTTACAGTAGAGATTTTGATTTAAAAATAGGTATAGGTATATTAGTTAATCGTCAGTATCAATTAACACACTTTATTTAAATAAATTACGATAACCCATTGGCGTAGAATCAAGGGTTATAGGTAAGAACAATGTTCATCCAAACTGTCTACTTGAATTTGGCTGATCAAAATTCAAGTGCCTCCTCTCGCCTTTCGGACGCTGCACGAGCGCGCTGTGGCACCGTCAACCCCAGTGACGGCGGTATCGGTATTCTAATTCGCTGACTCTAAGGCCCGATTTATAAACAGATGTTAGGTACAATTTTATCACGGGCTGATTTCATAATAAATATTGTTACGCAGCACCCTGCATCGTGCTGCATTCGTCATAAGTAAAAGTACTAGTAAAAAAGAAAATAGAATATTCCAGAATTGTCGGGAAATGTCATTCATTGTCAAAAAAAATCTAGGCATTTCAAGAAGGTATATAAAGCTATATAAAGTCGATGATCCTGACGTCAGTTTTAGTTTTATGAATCTCTGTGATAGACGTTATATGTTAATGTTATCAGTTGTATAGTTATTGTAAAAGTTGAGTTGAAATAAATTGAGATACCAAAAACTTGCGTAACATTGGTGACAGCGGTGGGATCCAAAATAAAATTTCATGGTAAATACTAAATCTATTGAGTACAAAACAGGCATGGACACTTCAGGTCCCCCAGCATGGTTTTTGAAGATGAAAGAGGAAAAATAAAAGCGTAGGAAGGAAGAAGAGGAGGAAAGGTAAGAACAAGAAAAGGAAGAAGATTAGTAAATGGAAAAGCGTAGGAAGGAAGAAGAGGAGGAAAAGGAAAGGCGTAGGAAGGAAGAAGAGGAGGAAAAGGAAATGCATAGGAAGGACAAGGAAGAAGAGAAGGAAGGAAGGCGTAGGAAAGCAGAGGTAGAAATTATGTATGGTTTGCTTTAAATTCAGAAAAATTTCAAGCAAGAGGTATGTTAGCTGAACAGTCATATAGATCTCTTAGCACATCAACAAAAGAATTTAAAAACTAATTAAAACAACAAGAAACGGCTAGAATAGAGTTAGAAAGGAAAATTAGAACTGAACTAGTTAAATTAGAAAGAATTCGTAGCCTAGCTTTGGCAAGCAACAGAGAAACTGCAAACACTACCTCGTCCTCACAAAGTCATACTAGCAAGACTATTAAGCAACCCACGTTTGACGGTCAGACAACATGGGAAACGGATCGACTCCAATTTGAAGCTACAGCTAGAGTCAATGGCTGGACCGAGAATGAGATGACGGCTTCATTGATAGTGTCGCTGCAGCAACCGTTTTACAGTTACTTCCCCAAGAAGAACTTAGTCATTCAACTCTCATCCAAGGTTTGGAGAAAATATATGGCCAGCAGCATTTGAAACGGGTATTTTAAAGCCAGCTAAAAGTTCGTAGTCAGAAACATAATGACAGTCTACAGGAATTTGAGGGCAATATAAGGAGATTGATTCATCTGACCTATCCACAGGCACCCAAAGATTTCCAAGAACAAATTTGATTACAGGCATTCATTGATCAGCAAACCCTTCGTCTACAACATCACAAGACGCTGAGGGAGAAACTGATTGCAGCCCAGGAATATGAAGCGACAAAATTCCTATCCAGATCTTCTCGCGCAAGAGTGAGAGAAACTAAATTTCAGGAAAGTGAGGAGGCCAATACTAATACTATTCTCAAACCTACACTCTCACAAATCTTATCCTGCAAAATATGCAACGAAAAGACCAAAATGGAAGCAGAAGATGCTTTACTTGCGGAAGAATCGGGCACCTACAAAGGACCTGCAGAAGCAAAGCTCGCTCTATAAATCAAGAATCAGGGAATATGGCCAGCTTAAAGCCCGTCACGAAGTCCAACAAGAAATAAATACAGCAGCTAGGCGTCAAGGAGAAGCCGATCACCCACACCTAGTTAGCCTTCTAGCAACAACCAGGAAGTAGAGCATAGAAGAAGGCCGTCTCCATAGCAACGCAGATATTCTCTCCAGGCGACCCTGTTTTAAATGAGAATATCGGTAAAGTAAATGTCTCAGAGAACGAGAGAAACCGGTTTATAAAGCTACTCTTCGGGCAACCACTGTCAAGCCAGAGGGCGACGAAGAAGAAATCACCCTTGAAAGCCTGAGCAAGGGCCAGAAAAAAGACAATGACTTAAAGGTTGTCCGAGAATGTCTCAAAAATAAAGTTACACCTACTTGGCAAGAGATAGCCAAATGCTATAAAATGGTACTGGACTCAGTGGGATTCCCTGTATCTTCACGATGACCTATTGCACCGGAAGTAGGAGAGCCCTAATAAAGTACATGTAGCCTTCCAAGTGGTACCGCTGAAATCACATCTTAGAAGTGTGTTGGAGGAGCTTCATAGCAGCCGTTCGGGAGAACAAGTTCGTGAAAAATTTTATTGGGTCAATTGCCGACAAGATGTAGCGGATTGGTGTAAAAAATGTGATGTATGTAATGGTAGGACAAAGGTCTATGGATTCGCTCGGGAACGACTGAAGGCTAACAGCGATAAAGTAGAAGCCAGAATCGACAGGCGTGCCACAAGTACACATTTGAACGCAATCCCAAGCACCGAGGAGGACTTTGTCAGAAATCGCAACGGAACTGGGAAGGCCTGTACGCTTCCCTTAAGGAAAATCAACGACCTGATCTACCGCATGCAGCTGTCAGCGGAAGTAAATCCAAGGTAGTTCACATTGGAAAGTTAGCGTCATGCCGTGGTCCAGATCCTCCCTCCCCGTTAGCTCCCACCAGTAATCAAGTTATTCGAGGTGAATAACTTGAAAGGAGGGAGCAATGGTACGCAGCACCTTGCAGCGTCCTGCAGTCGTCATAAATAAAAGTACGAGTATAAGAAGAAAATAGAATAGTCCAGAAATGTCATTCCATGTCAAGAAAAATCTAGACATTTCGAGAAGGTTCGAGAAGAGTCAAGCAAGCTTATATAAGCCGATGATCCGGACGTCAGTTTTAGTTTTATGATAGACGTTATATGTTAATGTTATCAGTTGTATAGTTATTGTAAAAGTTGAGTTAAATTAAATTGAGAGACAAAAAACATGCTTAACAATATTGGAAGGTCCATTATCTAATACGGCTAAGATTATATGACCTAATGGTCCCATTAGTTAATGGACCTGTTATTATTGATTATAAAATCGGGCCTTGAATTTTTTGAATTTCATAATGTACATAGATTTCATGTTTGAGTAGGACTAAAACTGAAAAATCTCAAAAAAACGACCAAAACTCCCTTGTTTGTACAAAAATTGAATGACGAATAATTATTATTCTCAACTTTTATGAAATATAGGGTATTTAAAAAGTTTAGATGTAAATTGTTCAGCCCTTGATTCTACGCCAAAGGGTTAATCGTAATGTAAAGTGTGTTAAGTAATAAGGAAGATTTACTAACATATACATATTTTTAAGATGAAGTCTTTATCGTAAGGAAAGCTATTTAGAAAATTATATATTTATTAAATTCACTTTATCACCATGTAGAATGAAAACAGAGACGTTTACAGGAAATTAATATTTAAATTTTCTTAACAATTAGTTAAGATCTGCATATCTCCCAGTTTAAGGTACGTTATTCTAAAACACATTGTATATTGGATAAATACAGATATTAAGTAGGTACTTAATCTTGATTTAAATTGGAATACATAAAAAATTGGTTAAAAGTCAAAATTGAACATTTTTCTAGAGGTAAAAAAAATAATTAGTTTTCTTACTTGGTAACTCTGAGTTTGAAGAGCTATCAGTCGTACCACCATTGCACAAAAATGTGGTGGTGGTGCCTGGCTCATAAGAGCAGCCGTCGCACTTGATACACCTTCTTGTGAACAACAATCACTGACAATTAAACTCTAGAAATACATTAAAACGATTTGACTAAAATAATTATTTTTAAAGTTATTAAAACTTATTTTAAAAGTCGGTAGTTATTTATAAATTAATTTATTGTACCTGACAAGTATTAATAAGTCCCCTTATTTGTGACCAATGGATAATATAAAGATATTTAACCATAGTATCATAGATTCCTTTAAGCAAGCCTGCAGCCGCATCCCAATCAGTGTTTCTCTAAAATAAAAATGTAAATATTTCAATATTAGGATAATTAAAAATTATTAACTCACTCTTATAGATGGTTTCTTTGAAATTTTCTGAAACACTTTATCCAGTCTTCTGAGAATAGTAACTAAAGCAGGCCTCATAGCATCATTTGACCAATCAGTCGATGGTAATACATACGTCATATAATGTTGAAGTCCCCTGCATCCCATAGATTCTGGATCATAAGGAGAGACTTTAAGAAGGGTGTGAGCTATATCGGCCAATCGCTAAAAGAAATTAATTATCAATAAACAAAATTTCCTTACACTACAAACTATTTATTTACCACATGCGATTTGATATCTAATAATTCGACTACTTTTCCATCATTATTATTCTTTTTATTTAATTCTTGTAATCTGCTTCCAGCTTTTGCAACAAACTCTCCTACCAAACTTAATAGAACATCTCTTGGTCTTCGGTATGCGGCTCTGAGGACCTCAGAATCTTCAACGTCATGTTCGTACATGCTTTTTGCTCTTGAGTGTTCGCTCATGAATTTAGAGTGAGAATCATCTTCGAAATCGAATCCTGGAGAATAGGGTCCTCTGCTGTAGTTCCTTTGACTCGAACCTTTATGCTCTGGACTCGAACGGTAAGGACCGTTGTAGCTTCTAGAGAAATGCCTATCCTTTACTTCAAAATTGAATGTTCAAGTTATGCTATCGAGAGTGCCATTACAGCCGAGGAAGATTCCAATTGGATAATTTAAATAATTTATCTACGCCAGTGAGATAAGAACTTCTTATCCCACTCATTTTGCGTGAGATAAGAAGTTTATTAACGTACGCGTTTTTCTTATCTCACTGCTTTTCAATCAATCAAATAAAAAAGTCAAAATCTGTTTAAATTTAATATTTAATTACTATCATAATCTAAAGTAACAAGAAACTATATTTAAAGCTGTTCTTCAATTTCAGATGGCAAACTTTCCGAATCACGCATTTTATTACTAGAGCAAAAATAAGTTAAAAATTAATTATTTTTGACTTATTGTTTATGATAATATTATCGTTGCTAAGAAAACAGAACGTTTTTATTTAATTGTTAGAACCTCCACCCAACATTTCGATGCCGACATATAGGCAGTAGTGGAGAACAATAACCCTACATTAAGTTTTAAAAATTATAATTACCGTTTATTTAGAGGCGTAGATAAAAATTTGAACAATATACGTGTGATAACGCTTTATTAACGTAATTCTGCGATTGCCCAAATCGTGCTACGCACTCGTGCAAATTTCGCATGCGTGCTTTAATAAAGCTTTTAACCCACTCATATCGTGAATAACTAATATCTGATTATACAGTACTTTATAGGGTGTGACAATTTAAAAACAGAATATAAGACTTACTACCATCCAATAAATAACGACCCCCACTTATCATACATCATTAAACAGCTAGTAAAAATGGTTTTAACCATATAAGTTATACCCAATTCAATTAAATATTTCTAGAATTATATACAAATTCATAACAAAAGTACATTATACATAATTAATTAGAAAAAAATTTATCATACTAAAAAATATAAGTTGAATGCAAAAAATTTGTACATATTTCTTAAAGAAAGGCACTGAATTTTTTTATATTTTCTTATTTAAATTAAGGGGTTACATTATAAACAACTTTTGAAAGATATTTTTAAGTAACTTCACGGGCTATCTTTTCAATTTTTTATATTATTATAACGTTTATTTACACTGCTCAACAATTGAACTGGATAATTGCTAAAATCCTGTTTATATGTAAACATATTTAAAAAAATTTTTTTTGTATTATCAATAAACCATATTCACAGCGATTATTTTTTGTATGTTTATTGTTCGTTATCAATGCTCTTATCTCTTTCACGAAAATTGCAGGAAGGTTGTTTAAAAATCGTAAAGTATCAGTTGTGCAGAAGAGCTTGTTCTTACTTTATTCTGTTACTTTTATCAATAATTGTGTGTGTTCGGGTAAAGAATATGCCGCTACGACGATTAGAGGCACTGCAACTGCAGCAATTCGTGAATTGTATAGAGAAAGGTTTGTCCCAAGAAGAAGTCGCCACGCGGCTGAATGTGTCTCAGAGTGTCGTAAGTCGTGCTTGGAATAGGTATCAAGTAACTGGGTATGCAGCGTACACACACATCGAGCTACAACTCGTGCTCAAGACCGCTTTATAATCCTGACTGTGAGAAGAAACCGAACATTTACGGCTTCAAGATTAACACCTTCTGTAGACAAGCTACTGGACGAGTAATTTCTGGTCAAACTATCAGAAGAAGGTTGCATGCATGTAACTTAAGAGCTAGACGTCGCGCAACCCCCCCAAGACTGACGGCGGAGCAGCGTGCATACCGATATCGGTGGGCGGAAGAACACAGCTTTTGGACTTTTCTAAATTGGAGGCTTTGCCTTTTTACCGACGAGTCCAGATTTCGTTTATATACGTGTGGTGGCCGAATATTGGTATCGCGAGAAAGGACAGCGATACAATGAAAATTTAATGGCCCCAACAACTCTTTTTGGTGGTGGATCAGTTTGCGTCTGGGGAGGCATATGTTATAATGGTCGCACTGATTTAGTGGTCTTAACTAATGAGACAATGACTGGCATACGATATCGGGACAGGGTTATATAGTCGAAGCAACGAAAGCACTAAAAAGGCCAAAGTTCCTGGGTTTTCCGTGCAAGTCGGATCGGAATGCGGTTTTTTGCATTCGCTTGCAAAAATTATTTGTATCATTCCCCCGTAATTTTCGGGTCATACAAACCTCAAATTGCTTTGCTGCAGCCAAAAGTGCATTCAAAAAATGCATTATTTGAGAGGCCTCTTGGATGATTTCAAAACTTGTTAAATAAGTGTCAGAACTAGCCCAGATCGGGTTCTCGGGGGGTTTTCGAGGTCGCTGATCACGATTATGATGTCTAAATTGACCCACAGCCGACCTAGAGCTCAGGAACGTCGACGAACGTCATCTTCGTGGGACTCTCCCAAAATTCATGCGGGGAAGGAAGGCAACTAGGCGATCGGGGTTTTTTTGGGTCGCTGAATCCAAATATGGCATCGGAGAATACCTCCCTGGTGTGCCCAAACCTCGACCTGGACGTCATCTCCGAGAATTTTCCTCACAATATCGACAAGAACAACCCGAAAATGATTGAGCGGAGTTTTTTGGGGCGCTGAATCTAAATTTCACGTCAAAAACGACCCCCTGAACACCTGGTGCACCGGAACTTGCCCCTGAACGTCATCCCCAAGGGGTTTCCAGACACAATTAAAAAAGACGAACCGAAAATCGTTCCGGGGGTTTTTTTGGGGTGCTGAATCCGAATTTCACGTGGAAAACGACCCCCCGAATACTTGGTGCGCCCTAACCTGACCCTGAACTTCTTCACCGAGGTTTTCCAGACCCAATTGAAAAATAATATTATGGAACTAATATTCTGTGGATGCAAAGGAGATTGTAATCTAAACACCTGTAGTTGCAGGAAGCACGGCCTACCTTGCAATCTTGCCTGTAAAATTTGTGAAGGTTCAACTTGCCTTAACACTGAACACTGAAAGATATTCAGATGAAAACGTTAATGTGCCAGAGACAGAGGCCTCAGATGAGGGAAATGTTCCCCGCATGAATACATCAGTCGATGACGAAGAAAATGACCAGACATTTGAGTTATTAATTAATTAAGGAATGACAAACTTACAGGTTCATTGTATTCGATTTGAGGCCAATAAAATTTTTTTTACCGTAAATTACATAAATATTGCGTTTCTATTCATTCTCTTTCTTTCCTCCTCACGTAATCTAGAATCAACAATTGCACACAGCTATTGCAGTATTGACGCCTCGGAGATGACGTCCAGGTCTAGGTTCAGACGCACCAGGTGTCCATGCGGTGTTCGCCGATGCCATATTTGAATTCAGCGACCCAACCCCCCCCCTTTAACGATTTTTGGTTCGTCTTATTCAATTGGGTCTGGAAGAACCTCGGTAAAGACGTTCAGGGCCAAGTTCCGGTGCACCAGGTGTTCAGGGGGTCGTTTTCGACCTGAAATTTAGATTCACCACCCAAAAAAACTCCGCTCAATCATTTTCGGGTTGTTGTTGTCGATATTGTGAGGAAAATTCTCGGAGATGACGTCCAGGTCGAGGTTTGGGCGCACCAGGTGTCCGGGGGGTATTCGCCGATACCATATTTGGATTCAGCGACCCAAAAAAACCCCGATCGCCTAGTTGCCCTCCTTCCCCGCGTGAATTTTGGGAGAGTCCCACGAAGATGACGTTCGTCGACGTTCCTGAGCTCTAGGTCGGCTGTGGGTCAATTTAGACATCATAATCGTGATCAGCGACCTCGAAAACCTCCGAGAACCCGATCTGGGCTAGTTCTGACACTTATTTAACAAGTTTTAAAATCATCCAAAAGGCCTCTCAAATAATGCATTTTTTGAATGCATTTTTGGCTGCAGCAATGCAATTTGAGGTTTGTATGACCCGGAAATTACGGGGGAATGATACAAATAATTTTTGCCAGCGAATGCAAAAAACCGCATTCCGATCCGACTTACACGGAAAAACCAGGAACTTTTCGCTTCATTGCTTCGACTAATAGAGCCGATAATTGTACCATTTTTTGGTGCAATAGGTGAACGATTTGTTTTTATTGACGATAATGCTCGTCCACATCGTGCAAGAATTGTAAACGATCGCATAGAACATCATGGAATTACAAGAATGGATTTGCCACCCTGTTCACCAGAAATGAATTGTATCGAGCATGTTTTTTGGGCTGAAATGTCTAGGCTATTAAACCGAAGTCAATAGCCTCCCCAAACCTTAGAACAGCTGGATAATGAGTTGCAGGCAATTTGGGAAACCATACCTCAGCAATTTATCAATAATTTAATAGAGAGCATGCCAAATAGAGTGACAGCACTAAGACGAGCCAGGGTAAGTCCAACAAGATATTAATTTTTTATAGGGATTTTGTAAAGTGCGCAATGCAAGAATTTTTTGTTGTTACTTTTTTAATTTTTTTAATTATCCTGTAATTTTCAATTAAATGGTTTTTCTTTTGAGTTATACTTATAATCAATAAAATGTTTTCTATGTTACATGATTTTTTTATTTTATTTTAAATTATTGACAAAAAAACAAAATTTTAAAATATCCACTTTAATTGTTATGCAGTGTATTTAAACGTTTTATTTATTTAATCTATTTATACTAAGATACTAAGTAATTTATTTATACACAAATACTCTACTAATTTAAATGGAAATTTACTTTTTATTAACAATTTTTACTTTCATATTAACAATTTTAATCTGATCACAGCATTATCGCAGCTTGAATTAACTCAACTGACAAAATAATCCGATTTATACACTCAAATGTTACGCTTTAGATCTATCTTGAACATTCTAGAAGCCCCTTCACTATTTCTTACACTGAAACAAAGTAAGTGTATTCGCTAAAAGTTACCATTTCAAAATCATTCATCAGGGTCTAGTGCGTTCCAGAATGAACATTTATTTTATCTGTCTGGTTCCATAGGCGTATCTTGGGGTGGGTAATCGGAAAAGGAAGAGGCCGTAAGAGACCTAAACAAAGTAAAAGAGGGTCTTAAGAATTAGAGCAGGACCGGACTGGTCGTAAATGGCTCGTACGATATTATAAAAAGTCATTTATATTTTTAAGACTGTGCTGTATTTCTGAATAAAGTTTAGGTCATATAAATTGAAATGTCCAATTGATTTTGTTATCTTGGTGATTTCAAATACCGAAATTTATTAGTATTATATGTGAAATACTTTTAATTTTAATTTAGTTTTATGATGCCAGCATAATATTTTAAAACATAAAGTTTACGATAGGATAAGTACGTATTTAAGTTTATAAAATATTTTTTCTACACCCGTATTATAATAATGCACTTATATGCCCATAATCCGTTTCATAATGATACCCATTATGATACAGATTTTTCATTATGATACAGATTTTTAATCAATAGAAACCTACCATTTTTCAATCAAGCATGATGTTTGACGTTTGTCCTAAATTCCTATGTAATTGTTTTAGTTGTCAAAACGTATTAAATTTTCGTAGATAGCTAAACTTCGATAATTATAATATTAAAATGTCTGATATCAGCGATATAGAAGACTCCTCCACACATATCAGAGAAAGGAGAAAATGCAGTACAAAATATTTTGCCCCAAAAATCTGTGGTAATACCAATACCCAAGGTAATACCATTAATTACAATTTTGTAGAATTTTTTATAGAAATACGAGTAATTACTGTTATTGTGTTCAATGCCAATATAAATAGAATATTTATAGGTCTTGATTATTTATCGGGTGTAGAAAAAATAGCGTATGCAACTCTCATGTAATGGTTATTAAAACACTCGCATAAACCATACGAAACTCGCCTTTGGCTCGTTTCGTATCCCGGTTAATGCTCGTGTATTAATAACCATCATTACATGATCGTTGCATAATATACTATTTAACAAATATTGTTATTATTTTTAGAGTTTGAGAATAGCAGTGGTAAAGTTCTTCCCATCCTACGATACCACATTTAATTTGTGATTCAATTAGCACATGATACATATTTTTATTTTTATTTTGGTGTTATCGGAATCAACAGTTTGATAGGCTTGCGATAATTTGCCAGAATACGATACGATACATATAAAATCTCATTTTTTGCAAAAATGGCACTTACAATAGTCTGGCAAAACGGCATCGATAGGTATGGGTTTCAATCTAAATATTTAGACAGATTGGGATTTTCTATTATTCCTCCAAAAAGCGGAAGTAAGTCAAAACCTCACAGAATATTCGAACGAATTTGAAGAAACTAATTATTTAAAGCTTTCAAAAAGAATAAAAATTATTCTCTTACCTCAATAATTAATAACGAAGATAAGGGGGTTAAAACTTTTAACTAACACACCCTGTACTTGTAATAAACTTTTAAATATCTTATCTCAGCTGTAATGGGCATTTAGTGCTGTTAATAATACTTACTTAGTCAATGATTCAGAATTATTTACCAAAGTTCTGATGGATATGGCAAGTAAGTTTATAATATCTTTTTCTTTCTTTCCTTCTTTGTTATAGGTAGGAAGCTGAATTTGTCTTACGTAGCAGGGAAAAATTGCCTCCAAAATTATCTAAAAGAATTGATTGTAAACACAAAATGTATATGTTATTTTGAAAAGCAAAATGCGATCAATAAATTTTTATAACTTACAAGCATTTGATACCCTCTAACGCTCTCAGAAGAATATGAAACCACCATAACACACATAGAGATACAGTCCAAAATAGTCACCATTTCATTTTCATCGTGGTAACAAAAATCTATGGCTTTTAAAGGTTTATCTTCCTTAACCAATTCAGCTATATTAAGTGGATCAGGTGAGGGTGTCTCCAAACTGAGCAACAAGTTAAAAAGGCAACTGGATTGGATCTATGAAAGCAGAAAGAAAGCATATTTTATACGTTTAACGAAAAGGATATTTTTTAAATACTTTTGTGTTTAGTATATTATTATATTTCGGTAGATACCATAAAACAAATACCTTGTGCGCATCTCCGTAAGTTCCTTCTTCATCAGTATCCAACATGGCTGACACCGATCCAAACATTTGAAGAATAAACGGTTTTCTATTCATTAGATAAAATTGTTTCACTGCGTACTCAATTGTGGTCGTTACAAGTTTGTTTGTCTGATGATTGGAGTATATTTTTAATAGTGTGGGCATTATCAGTAAATATCTACAATAAATAATTATTTATAACAATGTAATCAACTTGTAGTTATAATAACTCTATATATGGTGAGACGTTATGAGAGTTCAGCTTTAATATTAGTTCAGGAACTGTAAAGAGATTGCATATATATCTACTTTATTTTTAATATTTCAGCAACTATTTTAATATTTTATCATCCAATTGAAGGTTGATGATGTTCATAGATTAACAAATAATAAACTATAGTGGGGTGATTAAATTTTGTGGATTGATAAATCGGAAATTAATGAGATACGGAAATAAATAAGGGGAAAGTCTCAACCTATGTCCATGGTTTTTAGCACCTAGGGTGGTCCAGTTTATATCATGCATGATAAAATATGATCCAATTTTGTTTCCTTTTTGATGTGTTCATTTTTTCAATAGTTTTTTATTAATATCTATAAAAGGCTTACACCGATTTTTAAGAAATTTTCAGTTTGTAGGCAACTTCATTAGGTGTCTTTAGTAAATTTTTGAATTTTTCATAATTTCTTTAAATAAACCAACTAAAAATACAACTTGTTTGTTTGTTTATTTTTTGTTCTTACTTTGTTTTTGCACGTTTTGCATCAAAACGAAAGAAGAATTAGATCATAGTTTATTGGACACAGCATCTTTATTTTTGGATAAACTATCAGTTGGTGAAATCCTGATGATATTATGTATAGATTTATCCAATTGTAATTAAAACTTACCCGTTAGTTGAAAATATATTCTTAAAATGAAAAGCTGCATTTATGTACGTCGCTGTAACGTATCTAAGAATGCAGGCGTCTTCAGAATGAAGGACTAATGCCCCATTAAGAACGTTAACAAATAGGTGGATATCTCCGGAATAGGCAAAATTTCCTGCCATCGCTTCAAACATTCTAGCAATTAGTCTCACCCACATAAATTTATGTAAAACATCAAGACCTTTAAGTAAAAATATAGAGATCACTAATCAATAAAATACTTAAACTAAAAATGTGGTTACCTAATAATTCTTTTCCCAATGGTCCACTCTTGTACAAATCCAAATCGGACTCCAAAGCTTTTCTGGGAAACGATGGCAATTTCATCAACTCTTCATGCAAAAATACGACCCTCTGTACTACCATATCTACATTTTTTAAAATAGCCCAAGTAAGAAGCACTTTTCCGATTTCAACAAACTTATGTAGCAACTCCTGCTTTTGGAGAGCATTAAAAGCGACATCTGGTTTCATATAAACTAACTCAAGTTGTGGATATTGAGATCTTTTGAAAAAGTAATAGTCTCGAACGTAGGAAGATGGGTTCCTAATTTGATCTATATAAGATTTAATTAATTAGTATAATTTAATCAAATAACGTCTTGTTTAATTGTACTTACGAGTCTTATAGTCGACCAAAAAGAATTCCTTATGCTTGTTTTCTTCAATACCAAAAAAGTCCAAAGATTCTCTTAATATTTGATAAAACTGGGTATCTTCTTGAACAGGAAATTGAGATGGTATACCACCAGCATCTGGATCTTTAATGGAAATAAGTGTATTCTCATTAACATATAATCCATCGTATAGAAAAACTTACCTTGCGGACCATGTACAATAATTTTTTTAGCAGACGGAACATTTGCAGTTAGCAATATGGAAGCATCACACTGTTCTTTTCTTAAAATTTGTTTGAGATCTTTGAACATAATACCATGAACGCTATGAACAACCATCCACAAAAGAGATAACGCAGCTCCTATCAATTTTTGTCCATCTTCATGTGGAGTTCTTACGTAAAACATAACATAGCCAATGATATAATTGTATAAAGCGAATGCAGCTTGTTGCGGTAGCTTCGGTATGAATCTAATCAAATGTCTCAGTATTTTAAACATCAATTCTTGTTTTTCTCTGGTTAGTCTTTCCAGAATATATCTACAATTTAAAATTAGCAATAGTTTAATTTATACATCAAATATAAACATTGTTAAATAAGTATACCTTAAAAATAGAGCACTATCTTCTACCAAACAGGTCCAGATTACTTGATAAGCAACTTCGTAAACTGCATTACCATCTGCAGAGACAGCAGCGTCATCTAGAAGATTAATTATTTGAACTACCGCTGAACAAAGGCATGAAGGAAACAATGAATGAGCAGAATGTAGATGGTGGCCAGTATTTCTTGGTGGACCATCAGCTTGTTCATCATCCACTGAAAAGGGAAATGTGATTTTAATTTAAATGCCATAAAGGAGTTTATTTTTAGAAAAATATTTATATACCTTCTTCGTGTTCTTCCCCAGTATGGTACAGGCTAGGTTCGTGAGCAGCTTGAATGGTAATAGGAATTGTAGTTATCAAAAAGTTTTCTCTTTCCTCCCTCTTCTTATCATCTTGCGCTTGTAACGCCATTTTTATCAACTCCGTCTGTTGTTTCTTTCTAGTTTTAGTAGCTGTTACCAATGATCTCTACAATTTTAGATGATTTCGTTGTGGTTAAAAAATTCATTGTTTGTAAAAACTATAGAGAATATACGGAAAATGTATTAATTAAAATTGTAAAGTGTAATTTTTAAGGAAGAATACGTACGTGTCTTTCCTGATTAATGGTTACTTCTTCAACTTTTGTTTTGACTAATAATTCCCAAGGAGAATCTACTACATCTAAGGACTCTATACCAATTTTTGGGGATGGTAAAGTAAATTCAATGCCAGGTGGTGGCACTTTAAATAGCATTTGTGCATTTTCTTCCATCCTTGGCCATACCTGATATCGCATCTTCCACAAAACTTGAAACCTAAAAGTAATAAATGTCATCAATATCTTTCAAATGATAATGAATTCCTTGGAATTCCCCTAACAAATCCCAATATTACCCCTACGAAATAATAAAACTTATTCTAGATCCCCAAGGAGAAAAAAAACTTAATGAAAAATTAAAAAAAAACTGATTGCCAGGGGATTCGGACCTAAATTTCCGTTCTCAACATTCTTCTTTTACCAACTGGGTTATCACGGACATGCTTAATGATTTCCCAAACTGTTAAGATAAGTATAAGATTTCAAATCCATCCTTGCTTCTGGAGAAAATAAATTGTTTAAAATTTAAATGTTTTAGCTTACCTTAAGATAGCATTTATTCGGACAGCGCAGTCATGGTGTGACAGTCCATGTTGCATTACATCTGATACTTGTTGAGGCGCTCTTACAGCTCCTAAGATAAATATAGAAGCAGCACATGCAGTCACCTCTTGATTCGGCTCAAGAAGTAATTCCCAAGCTACCGGTATAATATCGAGAAAATGTTCTTCGGTAAGTATCACCGCTCCTTTTAGCAGTACAGCTAAAGGAGAGTGGAATGCCTCTTTTACCTAAAATATAATTTCCATATTGTAAATAATAGGAGTAAATACAGAAAATGTACGCTTTTGAATACTCACTTGTGTCTTAATATATTTTAAAATTGGAGGTGGTTCTTCAGGTTTTTTCTCGGACGTTGGTTTTGCTTCAGAACCAGGATCAGAATCGGCGATGTCCCTTGAAGAATCTTTACAAAACATTTTACCAAGCTGACCACCCTCCATACTTTTATCAATCTTGTCTTTCTTTCCCACACTGTCTTTTCTTCTAATTGGAGACACTGTGGAACTAGTTTGATCGGATACTTTTCTATTTTGTCCTTTATCTTTTTTATTTTTCTTCTTTCCACTAAAATCCATACAAAGTCTGTCATCTAAAATTCCAAATTCTTCTCCGTATACTTTTCTAGCAGCTTTGACAAGTCTGTTACAAGCCCTCATTATTCTTCTGTAGCAAAATGGGTGACAAAATGTTTGATGAGAACAATAATAATAGAAAGAATTCGAAACTAGAATCATTGTCTTCATCCAAGGCATATGCTTTGAGGTGTCGTCTGTATCGTTGCTATCACTAGGACTTTCTGGCGGCTGTTCATCACTTAAAACTCCTGGCGATTCCTCACCACTAGCTTCACCTGCGGCTCCAGGTTCTGATGTGTCACTTCGATCAGATATTGAACTTACTTTCCTTTTAGACTGAATGGAATCTGTGCGTTTTACAGTCTCTTGGACTTTCCCTGCAACAATTTATTTAATTTATATGTAAATTAACAAGTAACAACGCTTACATTCCACATCCATTCCTTCCTTTGTTCCTCTTCTCAATTTCAAACTTCTTCTTTTAAATGATCCACCAGTTGGTGCTGCTGTTCCTCGCCTCAAAATATAAGAAGGTCTCGATTGCTGTTGACGTTTGGCATCTTCTCCTTGTAGGAAAGCCTAGAAACGATGTTGAGAGGCTAAGTGCATTTATTATTATAATATTTACCTGCATGGTTACCGTGGTGTTGCTACTGCCTTCTGATTCATTATCAGGTTCATGGAGGACGAAACTTATCTTTCTTTCGCCTGTTTGACCTAATTAAAAAATATAATTTTTATAAAGATTATTTTGGTTTAAAAGACCTTAAGTACCACAATCTCTATCGCCTGCGATGGACTGTAGACTTTGAGCTGAAGTTTGGGAATGACCCATTGATGAAAGAGCCATACTCCACCTTCTGTTAGCATCTCTGCTGTACAGTTTTTCCCAAGGAGTTGGTTTTCCTTTTTCCATGACTCTCGAACTTTTCGGTAGAGTTTGATAGGTTTCGCGTAAAAATGAAGTTATTTCTTGCAAGAGTACACATGCAATCAATCGTAGTGCCATCGGGCAAGAAGATCCGTATGTATTTATACTTGCTAAAATAAAAAATTTTAAATATTTAAATAAAATATTTTAATTGAGTAGTGTATGTATCAACCTTCGTCCAAGAAATCTTCTTCTTCGTCCTGAATTAACAGTTCTTTTTGTTTTTGTTCATCAGTAACCATCTCGATTATTTCAGGCTGCAATGTTTTATCTTCGATAATAAACTCCTCAAGTTTTTGGCCAATTATCTAAAATTTACAAATAATCAATATTGTAATTATATTAATTCTAACATATCATATTTTATTACTTCCGCCCATTGGTAAAACATCTTCCCAGCTGCTCGTTGCATAATATGGGACCGTCTTAATCCAGTACTATTACTTCCACGAGCTGGTAGAGGCCCAGATGGTCTGTATACTGGGATATTATACTTCATCCAAGATGGCCACTGATTTTTGTTACAACAATGCACAAAGTATGCACATTCCAACAGTATTGCTGCCTTAGCGACCACGGTGGAGTGAGGCTACAATAAAATGCAACATTTAACGATGAAAAACTATATTTCGTGCAAAGTTTATTTTGTAAAGAGCTCGTTGAAAAAATATATAATATCTAAATCACTTTTTTTTAAATTTTATTTTTCTAAATTCCTTATATAATCTTTATAAATAATCCAATTCTCTTGATTATTATTCTTCAGGATTATATAAGTATACTTCGATTGAGGCTTCCGCAATGCCGATTATTTTGTTACGGCACAACGGAACCAATGCAATTCTTATCGGTATTTGAACATAAAAAATCATAAAAATTAGTTTTCTGACATTATGGTATAATTAACCTTACATTTCGTTGTTTTTAAATTTAATTTATTTACCAAATCTAAAACTGAGGCTATAAGATGTGCGTCTGGTACAGAGCCAGGTGGACATGTTTCTAGAAGAAATGAAAGTCTGGAAACTCCTTGATATACCAAAGAAGTTGAAACCAATTTTCGTTCTTTTAAAATCACGAATTCAGATTCTCTGGAAGTTTCTCCAAATTCCATAGAGTTTTTCCTGCTGAAATCTAAAAACAAAAATAATCTAATTATATCAATTTTTAATCTAAAAGAAATCAATAGGAAAATGAAGGTACTAACATCCACCACCTGATTCTTCTTGACTGCCATCTTTCTTTTTACCTTTCTTCAGTACAAATTTAAACTTGTCTTCCATCTTGCGTTTTGCTTTTTGAATGCTTTGACTGACATTACTATAAAAAAATGGAAATTAATAAATATATTTTTTAAATATTATTTTAGAATTTACCTTCTATTGGAATCTTTTTGTTGATAGAATTTTGAAGGCTGTCTTAGAAAACTTGAAGTATCAGTAAAAGAATCGCCATTGTCAACATTTTCTAGTTCGTCAACTGAACAGCTTTCTCCTTTTTTAAACCAGTTTACTAAAAAATATAAGCAATGAGATAGATTATGAAATATTTATTAAATAAAATGTTTAACATTAAAAATTTTTTATATATTTAGTCACCTAGTCCCCCAAGTTTGGATTTCTTTGATTTTATGGACAACTGTGGTTCAAGCGCTATGCCTAATGCTCTCTCACTTTGTCTTGGTGTCAAAATGTGATGTTTCTTTCTTATATTTCCAAGAGGACTTTGACTAGATTTTGCCATCTCTTCAGCCTCTGTTTCTAGCAAACTCTATAAAAAAAAGTACATGTCATCAAATTGGTTTAAAATACAGTGGCGGCTCGTAGGCACTAGCGGCAGTGGGGCACACACTGAAAAGGAATCCCGGGATTCGTTTTTCCCTTAGGAAAACAAGTTCTCCGCTTAATGAAAATTAAATATATTTCAAAACAAATTAAATATTACAAAATTGAAGACTAACTGCAGGTACCACTGCAGTTGTATACTATTTCTTATAGTTGAAGTCCATTCTTCTGGATTTTTGGCTAGCGAAGTGATCGATTACCAGATTATTTAAATTTAGAATGGACCGAATAAGTTTTTTTTTTCGATGGATAACATGGCTAACGCGCACAATCTATCTTGGCACATAGTGTTCCTTAAAAATGTTTTAATACGTTTTAGTGTCGAGAAACATATTTCACTCTCCACTGTGGTCACGGGAATTGTACACAGGATAGTTAGAAGCTCCACAGATTGCGAAAATATAATTGTCAAATTGTTTTCAAAAAACATTTGTAATAACGGTACGGCCCCATTGTGTTGAACAAAGTCATCTCGGGTGTACAGTATGGACAGTTCGTTTTTGAATTTTAATCTGTTTACGTTTGGAAATAAACTACACACAGTTTTAACGTCCTCATTTAGAAAACAACCTCGGTAGTCTTTAAATTCTTCACTATCAAATAAACTTGCAATTGTTAGGTGGGTAGTAAAACTAAATCGTTCATTTACCTGCACTACTATTGTATCACAAATTTTCTTACATATCCTTGAATTAGGAATGGGGTCCTCCTTTTCAACAAACCGTCTCTTCTTGCTTGTACTTGGAGCTGATTGGGTGTTGTCGTTTAAGTTTAGTTCTTGTGGGTCTTGTTGTGATTGCCATTCTTCATGAATTAGCGTGTCTATATTATTTCTAATATTTTGAATAGCTGCTGCAAAATTTGATATGTTTATCTTAACCTTGACAGCATCGAGCTGTCGAGTTGATCAGAAAGTATATCGCAATTTGACATTATTTTGCTGAAGAAAAATAACCAGAAAATAAAATCTGTCTTTCAAAATTTACCAACCCTTTAGTCTGATTAATAGTTTTTTTATCGAATTCTGTATTTATAATTTCTTTGAGACATTTAATTAAATCCTCTTTATAAACATAAATAGTAATGACACACTTCGATGTAAAATTCCATCATGTAGGAGCATTTTAAAGCATACGACTCTGAAGAAAAGGTGTTTTATATTTTTAAATTATTTAATAGTTTGTAAACTAAGCCTGGAATTTCCAACGCATACCTTTTTGAGTTGAGCAAAATAGAATTTGGTCATCCTTGCCAACAATTTGCGAAAATTTACACCATTAATTTATTTAAGGGACTCTTATACTCTTAAATATGCAAACAGAGATTTGAAATCCTAGAAAAAGTTGGACAAAACCAAAAGAAAAATTAAAATTTTGTCCCATTTATAAATATTATTGATTTTTTTTTTCATCATATTTTTGACTGCTTTATAAAAAAAAGTTATTTTTTTTTGTAGTTTTATTTCTTAACTATTCCAATGGTCCAACTAACGTTTTTTCGTAATTACAATAAATAAATTATTATCATGGTCCAACAAACGCGCACCTTAAGCCGAAACCGCATCGCCTTTGTGAGGGAGCCGGTAAAGATGCCGTTGCGTACATTCATATCTGGTCTAGGTAATCTGTGCCATGGGTACAGCACGTCACGATGAGGACAGCGCCCTGCTTGTGACGTATAATCCATAGCATGTGTTCATCTCTTGACAAGCGATATTGTCGTTGTCCTTGTTTTTCGCATCATAATGAAGAGAGAAAACAACAGAGGCACACATTTACTGTGCCCTGTGCCCATCTTTCACTTAATTTCGGAATTCTCGAAACGTCGCTCAACGCATGGTCGTCCAGTGTCGTGCCAACGCGGTTTGCGCTGAATATTAGATAAAATAATAATAGGCATTGAGGAAAATATAAAATATGTAAGTTATTTTTTTTTTGTTTATTATACTAGGGCACGTGCCCAAGGGGCCTTATGGGCAAACCGCTACTGTTAAAATATATAAATTGTAGATTACTTACAGGGCACGTGGATGATGTACTTCTTTTTTTAAATAAAGATTTTCTTGTCCCTCTATCTTGTTCAGTATAGGATTGAGTATCTGTAGGAGCGTCCACTTGTTCCTCTATTTCAGAGTGATGCATGTGTCTAAAAGTATTCAAAATTACAGGAGGATCATAACATTACTAAAAAGTTGGCGATATTTACCTTATAACTCTAGTCGTTTGAATGTTGACTTCCTTCTTGGTAGGTCTATCCGCAGTATCTATTAAAGCACTTAACGCTACTCTTCTAAATATACTTCCATGACCTTCTTTAACATAAGTCATTAATTGTCTTATTTCGCAGTATGCGGACTAAAAAGACATTTTCAAAATAAACATTTGTGAATATGAATATGAATTTATTTGAAAACGATAAAAGCTAAAATGATAATATTTAGTAAGTATTTTTGAAATCAGAAAGAGCAGGTGCGGACGCCAATATCAATATTGTAATTTAAAAAGCAATAAAAATTATTATTTAAATAGTTATAAAAAAACATTACATGGTTTTTTCGAAGAAAAAGTGGCAAATAAATAGGTCAAAATTTAAAATAATATAAAACTTACATTTTCCAATAAAAACAATGCATAAAAACAGATGTAGTATAGTAAAGGGGCTATGTTCATTCTAGAACAATCCTTATGTAAATTAACATGGAAAATCGCTAAGGTTCATTCTAGCAATTTTTGTCTAAATCAAGGTCACACCATCTCAACTAACTCGTCGAGCCACCAACGGGGGAGTGGGGAAAACGGGGTAGTGGGGGGATTAAATTTCGTCGAATAGAATTTTTGCGTAGTGATAAAGCCAAAAGGGCCTTAGCGTATATCTTCACTGCTATTGGTCCGATTTAAATGGAAAAAACGGCATTATGAAGAGAGCGTGATATAGATTAAAGTTGAAAAGAAAAAATCATGCGCAATGACAGGACAAAAGGACCTTAGCGTATATCTTCACTGCTATTGGTCCGATTTAAATGGGAAAAACGGCATTATGAAGAGAGCGTGATATAGATTAAAGTTGAAAAGAAAAAATCATGCGCAATGACAGGACAAAAGGACCTTAGCGTATATCTTCACTGCTATTGGTCCGATTTAAATGGGAAAAACGGCATTATGAAGAGAGCGTGATATAGATTAAAGTTGAAAAGAAAAAATCATGCGCAATGACAGGACAAAAGGACCTTAGCGTATATCTCAGCTATCGTTGGTCCGATTTAAATGGGGAAAACGGCATTACGTAGAGAGAGGGATATAGAATAACATACAAGAGAAAAATCATGCGCAGTGGCAGGGCAAAAGGACCTTAGCGTATATCTTCACTGCTATTGGTCCGATTTAAATAGAAAAAACGGCATTATGAAGAGAGCGTGATATAGATTAAAGTTCAAAAGAAAAAATCATGCGCAATGACAGGACAAAAGGACCTTAGCGTATATCTTCACTGCTATTGGTCCGATTTAAATGGGAAAAACGGCATTATGAAGAGAGCGTGATATAGATTAAAGTTGAAAAGAAAAAATCATGCGCAGTGGCGGGGCAAAAGGACCTTAGCGTGTATCTTCACTGCTATTGGTCCGATTTAAATGGGGAAAACGGCATTACGTAGAGATCGTGGTATAGATTAACGTACAAGAGAATTTTTGCGTAAAGCCAGAAGGGCCTTAGCGTATATCACGTGGGCCGATTTAAACGAGAAAAACGGCATTACGTAGAGATCGTGGTATAGATTAACGTACAAGAGAATTTTTGCGAAAAGCCAGAAGGGCCTTAGCGTGTATCACGTGGTCCGATTTAAACGAGAAAAACGTCATTATGAAGATAACTCAGTATTGATTGACGTCGAAAAGAATTTTTGCGTAGAACGAAAAGCCAGAAGGGCCTTAGCGTATATCTCAGCTATCGGTCCGATTTAAACGAGAAAAACGGCATTATGAAGAGAGCGTGGTATAAATTAGCGTACAAGAGAAAAATCATGCGCAGTGACAGGACAGAAGGACCTTAGCGTATATCTCAGCTATCGTTGGTCCGATTTAAACGAGAAAAACGGCATTATGAAGATAACTCAGTATTGATTGACGTCGAAAAGAATTTTTGCGTAAAGCCAGAAGGGCCTTAGCGTATATCTCAGCTATCGTTGGTCCGATTTAAACGAGAAAAACGACATTATGAAGATAACTTAGTATTGATTGACGTCGAATAGAAAAAGCATGCGCAGTGACAAGACAAAAGGACCTTAGCGACTATCTTTGTTGCTATTGGTCCGATTTAAACAGGGAAAACTGGGGGTTGTGGGTAAACACTCTAGCTCAAAAAATATTTCTAACACCATGTTTTAACGTCCTAATAGCATATTAAACTACACTACATATTGAAATTTTAGAGCTACATGCTGAATAGTCACGTGGTTGACCTAATATATGTTGTAAAACGTTATTAGATACCTAAGGAGTTTAATGGTACCGTCAAACTTCTTATCGCATTTTGATCTGGAGGAAGTTTAGTTATAGACGCTATATGGAAAATTTTGATGCCATTGTATTCTATTTGCTTCACAATATACACTAGAGGTTTTGTTTACTTGACCAAATGTCTTTTCAAGGTTAAAAAGGTTGTATCTTTGCATCTAAAGCACCTACAAACAAACAGACTTCAGATTATTGATTCATAAGTCAAACAGATTAGTTTGATATCTAACCAAACACTCTAGCTCAAAAAATATTTCTAACACCATGTTTTAACGTTTCGTTACGTTTCGTTACGTTTCGTTACGTTTCGTTTCGTTACGTTTCGTTACGTTTCGTTACGTTTCGTTACGTTTCGTTACGTTTCGTTACGTTTCGTTACGTTACGTTTCGTTACGTTTCGTTACGTTTCGTTACGTTACGTTTCGTTACGTTTCGTTACGTTTCGTTACGTTTCGTTACGTTTCGTTACGTTTCGTTACGTTTCGTTACGTTTCGTTACGTTTCGTTACGTTTCGTTACGTTTCGTTACGTTTCGTTACGTTTCGTTACGTTTCGTTACGTTTCGTTACGTTTCGTTACGTTTCGTTACGTTTCGTTACGTTTCGTTACGTTTCGTTACGTTTCGTTACGTTTCGTTACGTTTCGTTACGTTTCGTTACGTTTCGTTTCGTTTCGTTACGTTTCGTTACGTTTCGTTACGTTTCGTTACGTTTCGTTACGTTTCGTTACGTTTCGTTACGTTTCGTTACGTTTCGTTACGTTTCGTTACGTTTCGTTACGTTTCGTTACGTTTCGTTACGTTTCGTTACGTTTCGTTACGTTTCGTTACGTTTCGTTTTACGTTTCGTTTTACGTTTCGTTACGTTTCGTTACGTTTCTTAACGTTTCTTAACGTTTCTTAACGTTTCGTTACGTTTCGTTAAGTTTCGTTTCGTGGCCAAAAGGACCTAAGTCTCGGCGGCATGTCACCAGGTGCAAAATGGTCAAAAGGATCTTAGGTAGACAAACGGAAAGATAGACAAAAATACAGATAAAAGGACAGGCAGACGGAAAGAGGAGACAAATATACGGTAAAAGATAAAATCATAAAAATTCGTATCTATCGCTAAGTAAGTAAACAATGTCAAATGTCTAAATGCTAGGAAGGGGGAAACCAAAAAGGTATAAACTTTGGAGGAAAAAATACTAAGAAATCATACAGAGAGCAGTGAAGACCTAAGATGATGTAGAAGCCACTGAAGAAGAGAGAGAGAGCGAAACGTTGAAAACGGGACACAGTCGGATATTCGTAGAAAATCAAAGAAATCCATGGAAAATCATAGACACCCTCCTTAAAATTTATTGTTACGAGAAGCCAAAAAGGCCTAAACATTGAATAATACTTAGAAATTATGTAGAGAGCAGTACAGGCCTAAGAACAAAAAACTACTGAAGAAGAAGAAGAGGAAGAGTGAAACGTTAAAATTCCTAGAAATTCATAGAAAAAAGAATGGAAAATCGTAGAAATCTTTAAAGAGAAGAGAATTTTTGCGTAAAGCCAGAATGGCCTTAGCGTATATCACGTGGTTCGATTTAAATCTTTGGGAGCACCCTAGCCCAACAACCAGTCCAACCACCTGAAATATCATAGAGATCATTGACAAAATGGATATTGATTTGCAATAATATAGGACATTCTGTATCATACATTTATAAAATATAATATAATTTTAAACAATACATATATCGTCCAACAACCGGTCCAACCACCTGAAATATCATAGAGATCATATACAAAATGAATATTGATTTGCAATAATATAGGACATTCTGTATCATACATTTATAAAATATAATATAATTTTAAACAATACATATATCGCCGATAACAGGCCACAATTGTTGAAACTTTAAAATTTATAGGAAAATTATCAAACACCGAAACCAAATATACCGGAAAAAGCATTTCCGTGAAAAAATGATAAATTATTATCTCAAACCAAACTTGTAAAGTTAGAATTTTTGATAGCAAAATTCTCAGACCGTATTAACAAGAAAAATATATCTCTTGTTGGTGAACTTGGAAATTTCTAGAATTATCGTCTGATACTACGAAATTATAAATAGCCCCAGAATTAGCCATTGTTTGTCAGTATTGAGCAAGACGCTATACAGTGAATACTAATAGTTTTGTGTATTAAGGTAGGAAATATATATTGATTTTTTCACTCTATCCCAAAAATACTCTTTGTTTTTTAAATTCGAAATTGTGAGAGACTATTGCTGTTTTTTTTGATATTAGATCAGTTATTTTTGAGAAAACGAGCTTCATTTTTATTTATTGATTTTTATGAAAATACATTTGTGAAATAGAAACTAAAAGATTGTTCTTTAATTAGATAAAGCCGACAATCAACTGTCAATCATCCGCCAATCAACTACAACTATAGATCCAATCATCCGTCAATCAACTACAAGTATAGATCCAATCAACTGTCAATCATCCGTCAATCAACTACAACTATAGATCCAATCATCCGTCAATCAACTACAAGTATAGATCCAATCATCCGTCAATCAACTACAAGTATAGATCCAATCAACTGTCAATCAACTACAACTATATAGATTAGCTGCCAATCTTCCACATCATCCTTTTAAAAGTAAGTAAGTAACTTATAGTGCTTTTTTTTTTAAGTAACGCTTTATACATAGATTTTTTTATTTTTCTGTTAATAACTTTTAAAATTATTATAGATGAACTTAAGTGAACTCAACAAATGTTCCTTAATTGGAGAGAAAGCAAATAAACCAGTTGTGAAGCTGAGTACTCTACCTTTGGGCATTCCGCACACCATCTTAGCA